GGAATAAGCAGTCTTCTGATGAGCGTGAAGAGGAAGCTAAGAACACAACCTGCGTTACTGAGCCTCTGTGGGGATGTGGGTTGCAGCCCTTCACGTATGAGAAAGGCCCCTGGAGACCACCTGAAGCAGAGACACCTTTTGGGGAAGCTGGGCTTTTCTGAGCTTCCAGATCATTTCATGTGTGCTAGTTTAACATTTTACTCATCATTGCTATAAAACCTTGTTTCTCTCATGAAACATGCTGTGCATCCTTGCTGGTAAAAGTAAGCAACAGGAGAAGCTGGCTGGGCACTGTGCTTGCCAGCAATAGTAGCGTCCAAAGGGAGAACACGGGGTACTGAGCTCTCCCGCCTGCAGTTGACCAACAGGAGAAGTCGCAATGTCCCGCTCTGAGGTGAACCCACGTAGGATCTCACCCTAGCCATTAAGGACCACACTAAAATCCCATAGACCAGAGATACAGCTGCTTCTAGAACAAAGCTTTGAGTGCATTACGCCAAGTCCCTCCTCACTCGCCTACTCCTTAAGCAATGGCTGCTGAGGGTGACAGTAGTTAAGCATCTAAAGAGGCACACAACACTTTGGAAAAATCTGCAACTTTCGCTAATTAACATCCAATTTCAAGGAAAAAAAAATATTTTTTTAAACTCTTAGCTTCTCTGGATCTCAGTTTCATGATTTGCAAGCACTGGGTATATTACCTGTGAAATACAGGTAACATTTTATTTTGCACCATTGTAAGGCCTGTGGTGTAATCATAAGAGAAATGTCACTAGAACTAACCTGTGGCAAAGACATGAGGATAGTACTCAGCAGTGCTATAGAAGAGCTACATGTGATCTCATGTGGTTAGCTAGTCACAAATGTGACATCTTTGAGACACACAAAAATGCAGTCAAACTTGTAATTTCATGTGGTCTAAACTGTCAGGATACGGAATTGCACAAAATGGAATGATTGCAGGTAAGAAGAAGCTGAAGATAAAGAGGCTCTTTCAATTTACACAAATACACTTATGTTTCTTTGTTAGATGTCTCGAAAATAGGTAATCCTTGGGAATTAAATCTTTCTTTTGACTCTAAAAGGAGCATGTATAACCAATGCTGCTGTTCATAGATGACTGGTAAGTTTCGCAGAGACTGTGTGTGTTTAAAACACCAACTGGAATAAGAGCAAGCTGTAACAGCCATAAAACATAGGCATACCTCTGTGACACCACCACAGTCTGTCCTAGACTGCAGAGTGAGCAGCACAGTGTTGCAAGTTGGCATTGCTGAAAACTCGTGCTCCATGTACTTCTGTTGCATTTGTGACGGCTGATGACCGCTTTAGGCATCAGAAGGCGCTTGTGCTGTTTCACAGGGCGGGTGGTCTTCTACATGGAAGGCAGACCGGCTAACTGTGTGTTTGCTGCAGTCTTCCAGCCTCTTCCTCGGCTCCGCCGGCTCACCAAACTCTGTGACAGTTAGCCCAGTGCCCAACCTGCTGAGTGCGTAAAGGTGCTGGGTTTTGCTGTGACTGCTGCCACAGCTGCCCGTCACATCTGGGGAGGTAGCCACAGTGAGCCCACCTGCTCTGCGTGGCATGGCTGGGCTCCAGTTAACAGCCTTCCAGGAACTGCAGCAAACATCCAGTTGGAAACATGTGGAAACAAGTTCCATGTGATGTGTAAGTCCCTTCACCTGGTAATTGGAAATGAAGAGGAATGCCAGCACGGTATCATCACCCACGTTTCTGTGCATCATCACAAAGTGCTGCAGAGGAACAGACCTTAGCCTGAAAACCTTTTGCTGTTTTTTCAGTCAGAAGCAAAGAATGAGACAATATGCATGTGTATCCATTTGTAAGATGTTTCTGACCAGCCTCTGTAAAATAATGAACTGTATTTAGTCTTCAGGAATTCCATTTTAATGTCTCTACCACAAAACAAAAGGTTATTAAAATGACCTCTCTTCCTTACAGTCTATAATTCTTATATTTAATGGCATTTTGTTTCAATAATTGCTTTCACGCAGGAAGTATTACAACACAAATAATACCCAAAACAATACTCTCATTATCGTCTAGGCAGCTCAATGAAAGCTCCAAGAACTCATTAAAATACACTTTTCATGCCGTTTGCATTACAATAATGCAGATTAAGTCTCTTGAAAAGCAGGCATGATAAAGAAGTTAAATGTATTTCCAGAAATTTGCTCAGACTGTTTAGTTATTGTTGTATGTTAATCCAACTGTTTTTCACAATCAGAAGTTTAAATCATGAACAAATTATTTTTTTTTTCCTACAGAAAGGCAACATAAATAAAGGAGTACTTTCTGATTTTTTTTAGTATCAATACAATGCAAAATGTAGGGGCTAATATGACCATGTTTGCGGTCTTTAAGATATCTGTAGGTAATAAGGCTACTTTCATGAACAGGAAAAACAGTGGACAGTCATCTCTATATGTCCCTAAACTGATGGTTGTTTTTTAAGAGTAGTTATAGTTCATGTTTCCTATTCACTTTACTCCAGTATGTCTTTTTCTGTTGACAATTATCATCACTTTTGCCAGACAGCTGACTGAGCTGAGAAAAGGGTCACCTTCAGATTGTTGCTTTTCCTCAAATGCAAAAATCTAGGTGTGCTTGTGTACCTTCCTCACTTCTTACCTCTCTTCATTCTGCCTGTGCAGCTAAAACACTTGCTGGAAATAGTCTTAAGTGCAGTGGTGGCTTTTCCTTATAGGAAAGGTGTGGTGATTAACCTAAAGTACAAATATAACATATGCGCTGAATGTAATACACAATTTCAAAGAATAGAATATATTTTCAAGAGTTGAATGCTTTGAGGAGTTTAGAAACTGAATAGTAGGACAGCTACCAGTAACTATTTCAAAGTAAGCTTTAAATTTTGTGTTTTTCAGTGGGGAGGTGGAAATCTGGTGTTCTACTGATTCTATGAGCCAATTTTTTTTTTTTGGTATGTTTTGAGTATACTTACTTCACATTTAAATTTATTCTTTTAAATGTGCATACAGAGAGTAGGGGAGTTTTACTTCATTTAAATTTAGATCAAGCCAGCTGTGTTTGTTTGGTTTTTTAAACCTTTTTTGTTTGAAAATAAGGCTCATTTTTGTGTATTATTTTCAGAGGGAGGAGGGGTATTTTTTTGGGTATTGAATTTAATTTTTAACATCTTTCTTGATATTGACAACCTTTAAAGAATCTGGATCTTTTTCAAGGCTGGTTTGAGAATAGCTACACTAAAAGGACCCCACTGGTTAAAGCAAGCATAGAGGACGGCTGTGAAGATGATCAGGGGGCTGGAGCACCTCCCCTACGAGGACAGGCTCAGAGAGTTGGGATTGTCCAGCCTGGAGAAGAGAAGGCTCCGGGGAGACCTTCTGTCAGCCTTCCAGTACTTAAAGGGGGCCTTTAAGGAAGGTGGGGGCAATCTTTTCAGCAGGGCCTGCTGCCATAGGACAAGGAGTGATGGTTTTAAACTAAAAGAGGGCAGATTTAGGCTAGATAAAAGGAAGACATTTTTTTACGATGAGAGTGGTGAAACATTAGAACAGGTTGGCAAGAGAGGTGGTAGATGCCCCATCCCTGGAAACATTCAAGGTCGGGTTGGATGGGGCTCTGAGCAGCCTGATCTAGTTGAAGATGTCCCTGACCATTGCAGGAGGGCTTGGACTAGATGGCCTCTAAAGGTCCCTTCAAACCCAAACTATTCTATGATTCTGTGATTCTAATAACTCTGCTTCTGCTCTCCCAAGTGTTGCAGGTGGAGAGCTCTTCGACTTCTTAGCTGAGAAAGAATCTCTCACGGAGGAGGAAGCCACAGAATTTCTCAAGCAGATACTTAATGGTGTTCAGTATCTCCACTCTCTGCAAATTGCCCACTTTGATCTTAAGGTGTGTTGAGAGGATAAAAACTTCGACAACTGTAAGCAACATCCGTTAAAGTCCTTTGTAACACCAGCCGCAAATCTGCCATCGTGCAGATCTTGGCCGTAGTTTTGTTTTGCTAGCTTATGTAGACAGGGGAAAGCTCAGCTATTGAAAAGAAATCACTGAACCCTAAATACTTCCCATCTGTTTCTAATGTAAGATTCTTCATGGAAAATGGCAACTTCTGACAGAATTAAACTTTTCTGAGGAAGCAATCTGGAAATAAAAATGATGATTATGATTTTATGGAATGTGAATGGGATCTGGATGAAACATTCTGAACAGGATGCCTTTTTTCAACTTTTCTTTGCTGTTGTATACATTTTATGTTCACATGAACATTATTTATAGGTACTAAATTGAAACAGTGCAGAGTTGAGTACAAAGATTTTTGTGGAACAGACAGAGCAGATAATTTCCTCTTCTGTTTTTTGCTTTTGGGGCTTTTTTGTTTGTTTTTAGAAAAAACACTAGTTGCATCCTTTTGGTAATGAAAACAGAGCTTTTGTATCTGAACTCAGTTATTGGGTTTTTTAATGTTTTGATTTCAGAATGGTTTTGTTGGTAAGATTTTTTTTTTTCAGAGGTAGGCAGCTGAAGGGTCCCTGAAGTTGGCAGCTATGTCTATAATAGGAAAAAAAGAGGCATAATTATTACATTGCAGTGCAGTTCTGAAAGGCGTACTGTGTTCTGCGGATGAGTTAGGGAAGGGAAATGTTTCCAGTCTCATCCTCATCACCTACAGTAATATATTTGGTCTTTGTATGGCAGTCGGCAAGAGAAAAGAGTTCTAGTAAGAAATACATTTCTTACGACATGAAATGTAAATTTTTGCCAATGTGCTTGTAATAAAACAAAGCATCCTTACACCGGATACCAACAATATGTGAATTAAAGTATGCAGAACAATAAAAGTATGCAAGAGAAATGTAGGGAGGGAAGGGAGAAAATTACATTTGCATATATCAGCCCCTGTAGTTAGGGAAAAGAGGTAAAAGAAAGGTGATGAAGAGCAGTCCTTAATGACTCCAGAAGTCCTTAACAATGTGAGCAGGATGGATGTAGCTCCAGGAACTCTTAAGAGGACACTAGCTTTTGAACATGACAGGATATGGAGGCTAAGTACCTCGTTCTGTATCCTAGTTAAAATGATGGACTGTAGAAGCAGGCTCCTTCGATGATAATTTGACATTTCATCTACTAACTTTGTTCTGGTTTTGCATATCTTTGTTGTAAAATAATCCAAAGTCCATATTTTAAAATAGAGCTAGAAAAGACATGAGAAGCTGTTCTTTATCCTTTTTTGTAAATATATTGAGCCTTAAAATCTGGGAACTGGACTACTCCAAAAGTTCTTCTTGGAGATCCGAAGGCAGCAAGATATATCTGCCTGATTGCTTGTGCCATTTGAAAGAAACCTCTTTCGGGGAGTAATGGTAGCCAAGCCCACCTACTAGTTTATAGGACTTTGTTTCTTGCAAGCTCCCAGCACTGCTCAAATTGCCATAGCAGAGGGGCTGTGATCTTTACTGAGGACAGCATGTTTCGCTTAGGGTCAGTCCACATGAAAACTGCAACTGTTGCATCTACAAGAGGTAAAATCTTGGCCCTGTGGAAATTATAGCACTTTGTCATCAACATGAAATCATAATTTGCTGTAGTTAATTTTTAGCATATGTTAGATCATAATAGGAAAAAAATGGGGTTTTTCTGCTGAAGACACAATTCAAGAGGCTGAAGGGGAGGTAAAGAGAAGTGTTCAGTGCTGAAGAATGCTGGTATGTGTCAAGACATTTCGTACCTATGTGTAATCTCTCTTTCTCTCCCTCCTTCTCAAAGCCTGAAAACATAATGTTGTTGGACAGGAATGTACCAAAGCCTCGAATCAAGATTATTGACTTTGGTTTAGCACACAAAATTGACTTTGGAAATGAATTCAAAAATATCTTCGGGACGCCAGAGTTTGTTGGTGAGAAAACTGTTGTTTCTTCGAACTATTCTTTCTCAGTCTGTGAAACAGTATATGTGGCTTAGCTTGGTATGTCTGAGTTACAGATTGTGTAATTTGTGTGTAATTCATGACATTCTGAAATTTACATAAGCAATTTGTAGCATGCAGTTCCAACTTAGATTTGCATTAAGGTATTTTTCTCTATCAGCATCTTAGCTTATTATCCCTGACATATATAGGCTCAGAGTGACATAGATCTGTTCTTTGACTAGGTACTGATCTTCCTGCTTTCTCCTTTAGCTCCTGAAATAGTAAATTATGAGCCGCTTGGTCTTGAAGCAGATATGTGGTAAGTTATTGGATCTTACTTGAAATACAGCTGTCATGATTATTCTTATGTTCTAACCTTTTTTTTTTTTCTCTCCTCTCTCACTCTCCATGTTTCTCTACCCTCTTCTTCATCATCTTTTTTTTCTTTTTCCTTCATTCCAGGAGCATTGGTGTAATAACTTATATTCTGTAAGTACCAAAATCTATGGGTGGTTCTTGCAAATGCTGATTTTTTTAATTCTTATTCTATCCTCTGTGTTTTTGGTGGTGTCCATACAAGTCAAAGCATTTTGATTGCACATCATGGTTCAAGTTGAATGATCATAAAAGCAGTAGTATAATTATTGAAAGAATGGCCGTTAATCAGCATTGAGATAGCATGGGAAGCTGTCTTCGTATCTGTAGGTGATTTTTCACAGTGGCTTTATCTTAATCAATATTCTCTTGAAATTACAGCAAAGCTTTTTGCCCTGCTAGATCACATCTTCCTGAAAGTACATTTGTAGTCTTAAAGTACAAAAGAAAAATTTTCACTTTTTGCTGTTACTTGTTCTCAGAGGGTTTGAAACGATAGGGTTACAACATGTAATGAGAGGAATGTTCTATCTTTCTTGTAGTCTAAGTGGTGCATCACCGTTTCTTGGAGAAACCAAACAGGAAACATTAGCAAATGTATCTGCTGTGAATTATGAATTTGAAGAAGAGTTCTTCAGTAACACCAGTGCCCTAGCTAAAGATTTTATACGGAGACTTCTAGTCAAGGATCCAAAGTGAGTGGTTTCTCTTGTGTATGCACTGTTGCAGGGTATGTCTCTAATATTTCAAATTACATGGTGTTTTGAGATGTTAGTTTAATAAATGTGGAGAAGTATGTATTTTTTACTATCTGAAAAGTTTTGTCTTTTATTAAAGGAAGAGAATGACTATTCAAGACAGTTTGCTGCATCCTTGGATCAAGGTTAGCATGTAATTCATTCTCTGTTGTCCTGTTTTTAATCATTCTTCAGTTCATACTTCCACTTTTCAAGTTCCTTAACAAGGAAAATTGTCATAATTGTTTAATATAACTCAGTGGTTTTGAAAGCTGTCTGCATGAAAACTACTAGGTGCAGAATATGGATTTCATTAACTTATCACCTATGTGAGTTAGCAATAGGGAAGTAGCCCACTATTGAGATGAAAATTATGCTCAGGCAGAGAAGCTAATCTTCATGGAGCATTGCACTGACAAAGATACATTCTCTGAATCCAGTCCAATTTCCTCTCACATTTTTCATCTTCCAATGTCCTTATTTAGATTGGGAGAAAAAGGGTCATCTCTCTTCTGTCGTTCCTCTTCAGACTGAAGAAAGCAGTTGATGTGGGCTGGTGGTCCAGTTCTTTCAGTGGTCAACAGTGTTTGGTTTGGATCGAGCTGTTGTGGTGCTGCCAGATTGAGAGGGAGAAAATGGGACCTATCATTCTTCTTAATGCGTGTAGTAATACCTGCTACTTAATTTTTTTAATTCCATATTGCATGTCCACTGTGAGTAGTAAACCTCTTCAGTGCCATTGATTTCCCAGGTCTTGGGAATGCACAGTGGGTATTTGACCCCCTTCCACTTCCCAGAGAGCCAGTTAGCAGAATATTTATCCGTGCCACAGCTGCTCCAGTTTACAGTTCAGAATTCTAGGGCACGCATTTCTACACCAATATATGCCAAACTACAGATTTGACTGTGCTTAGCTGACTTTTTGGTAGGGTAATCTTAAAACAGTTGAAACATGTTGAAATGATCTTTTAAACCACTGAAGCAAGCATCGTCCAAGTTTGTCTCTGAAGGACCAAGGTCTCCACTCCTGCAACACATTGTTTTGAACCCTGTTATGTTCCTTTGTAGCCTAACTTTCTGGATGTTCTCCCCCCACCCTACTGGTCATATCCTTTTTTCCCCCTTCCCATCACTACCTTTACTTGCATTTCTCCATAAAAATGACTTCAAGTATAGGATCATATAATTTTAAATTTGTTATACCCCACTGGTAACTGGTGCTTAGTATTAGCCTATGAGAAAGTTCAAAGGGTGCAGCCTTAGAGCTTGCTGCACAGGTAGGTGGGATGTAATTTTGGGAGGGTCCCAGCAGCATCCAGCTGATTACACTGAGACTAACAAAATTTGATTGCATTTAAAATCAGCTGGGCAATCTTCCCAGAAGACAAGATTCATGTAGGAGATAATATCTAATGCCTCCATCACGGAGGGAGGTGAAGAATAAAGCTGAATGTTCTGTTGGCCTTTTATGTTTAAAATGGAAAAAACAAATTCTTAGGTCTGGATTTCCTTTATGGCATTTTCTCAAGAAATTCCATTTCCATTTCCCACTAGGCTGTGGATGTTAAAATAATGTGCTTACAATTACTTTATTATTACACTATGATTGCAGTGTTGTTACAATGTAAGTGGAAGTCATCACTGAAGGATGGAGTCTTACATACAGGAAGGTGCTTTAAGAAAGTTCTGGTTGTAATTGTGGGATATTTTACAACAGCTTTATTTTCATTTTGCACATAGCCTAAAGACACCCAGCAAGCACTTAGTAGAAAAGCATCTGCAGTGAATATGGAGAAATTCAAAAAGTTCGCAGCACGACGAAAATGGAAAGTAAGTCATTCAATAAATCTTCAGAATGTTGGTGACATACAAGTGCAGTAGTGTTACCTGCTTCAGGGAAACATCAGAGCCTTTAAGAGTGGAGGAGAAGAAAGAAGAAACCCATTCCTCTGTCATTTGGAATAAATTAGGTGCTTGAGTGTGGTGGTATGGGAGAAGACTTCTTTGTTAATGATCTGCATACAAATGCTTATGTGTGGATTGTTTGGTTTATGCTTCTCGCTGTATGCTGTCATCATTTGTCTCAGTAATGTTTTCAGAGAAAAGGCACTTCTAAGTATAGGTGCATGTTTTTGTGACAGTAAAATCCCCATAAATCAAAATTCCGTTAAGTAGCTCTCACTACTTAATTATTAATTATTCCAGTAGTTACGCAAACACTCAGCCGAGTAGTAGGAAGGAAAAACTAGTCTCTTCTGCAAAGGATTTTTGGTCTGAGACGGCCAACCTGTTTAGAAGGTTGGCATCACTTAATATTTATGGAAGTGGGGCAAGGTATTAACTGAAAGAGTTGATCTGTGCAAGAAGCAATTAGCCAAGACAGTTATCCCTCCTCCTTCAGTGTGCACATTGGGGAATTCACAGTGATAGTAAGCAAGGGCAGGACTGTTGTATGAGAAATCTCTTTATCATTAGGAGAGATGAAACATGAGACAACAGAGGTTGCTAGGATTAGAAAAGGAGTTTTATTCATTGTCACAGAGACCAAGATGTAGGATGATTTTCCTAAGCTATGGACCAAAGGCACAAAATATCCAGGTGTGCATTACAATTCTTTTGCCACAGTTTAGTGTCCGTAATAGGTGAACATCTATGGTATTTATAAAATTTAAGTACTAGTCTGCTGCCCTAGAATGAAATGGTGCGTCTGGGAATATCTTGAACTGTTTTATAATGGTGTTTAACAGAATGCTGTCAGCTAGTTTACACTCAGTTTAGGTTTTCTGTGTGTACATATTTTAAAATACATACATTTAAATGTTTTTGATGTGAACAAAAGGATGTAATACAAGTCTGTATTCTTTGTATTTGAACAGCTTGGTGAAATAGTAGCAATCCAAAAATATTACATAACTTTGCTTAGTGCATATGAGTAGCCTATTTGGATTGTAAATGTCAAAAGAAATTGAAGGTTTAAATGCAATATAAGAAGGAGATGGCGGGTATTGAAGTCAAACTCCGGTTTGTTTTGCTAATACAACAGCAATCCTTTAAAATTTCTGCAATAGCATCTTATCACAAGTATTCTGTTTTGATTTTTTTTTTACATATAGCTTTTTTCTTCTTATTTTTAAAAAGCAATCAGTGCGCTTAATATCCTTGTGCCAAAGATTATCAAGATCTTTCTTGTCCAGAAGTAACATGAGTGTTGCTAGGAGTGATGATACTCTGGTAAGTGTGTACTTATATGCTTAGAATGCTTTACTACATCTGAAACTTAATGTTTTCTGAAATTACTCTAACAGAAATATTGTGATATTGAAAGTGTGCAAAGTTAATTAATCTCATATGTAGGAAGATGTACTTTTTTTTTTTAAGGCTACAGAGGTCAATTATCCGTAGTCTGTTCTTCTGCATGACACAAACCTGGAGACTTAATTTATTAATTACCGTGGTGAGGCTGATAGCTAGTGCCAGAAATTAATCTATCTTGGTTTTGAAGTTTGATTCAGGAGGATTTTTTGTACTCTAGCAATTATAATGTGAAAAAGTTGCATCTGGATTTTTCATGGCACTCTGTAGAGTAAAATAATACTGCATTTTTTTAACAGAATATTCAAAATCACTGAGACCTTTTTAGATCCAATGCATGCTAGAGAGCAGTATCACAACAATTATTTAAGGAGGAAATTTTCAAGTTGGCCAGTATTCAGTTTTTGGTATTACATACATCTACTAGACTTAAGTAGTCAGGAGCAATTGCTGTGTGCTTTGTAATTACAAATGCTTGTAAATCCAAAAGCATTCTTATTTAGCTTACTCTCCAGGTTTTAGTAAATGCTTCACAAATTCCCTCTTACCAGCAAAGTATGTATGTTAATACATTTAGAGGTGGGTAACCTCATCTTTTCTGTACATTAATAGGATCAAACTTCAACAATTCTGCAGAGCCCTTTTTATCTGTATTGTCTTCCCTGTGTCCCTCCTGTGCAGCTCCATACTCTTGTTTCCACTTTCTCCTATCTTTCTGCTTCCGTGCTCTTTGTTCTCTTGGTCTTGCCCTCCTTTCCCTGCCTCGCCCACCTCAGCTATCAGTGCCTTTTAGCAGTGGGTCAGCATTCACACCTGTGTTGCAGCAGAAAGGATTGTAGCCTAATGTTAATGTTCTAAAAAATCTGAAGCCTCAGAAGAGAGGAGGTGAGAGCAATCCAAATATTTGGCTCAGTGAATTTCAGTTCTTTGCCATTTTAGTGCATGGGAGAAAAATAAAGTTAGATCTGCAGAGTATCTAGGCTCATTATGTCTGTTCTAGATTTTTAACTGGTCCTTTTGAATATATGAAAGCCTGGTCCAAAGTAGCTCTCCTGTGTCATATTACTGAATGGAGCAAAACTTGATGCTGCAATTTGTTTCCCTACCCCTTGTTTTTTTTTAATGTTCACATACATGCATAGAACTAGTTTCACTTCATGCAAGTATTGCATTCTTAGGAGGAAAAAGAAAATACAGCTAATAAAAGAAACCTGTTTGGAATCTCAGTGAGTAGTTCATGTCTGAAGAAGAGGGAAGCATATTGTACTAGATAAAGTGTGGGAGTTTTTAGTGTGGGTTTTCAAATAACATGCGTACATGTTGGCCATATGCTTCACAAAGGATTACAACTTGCAGCTGAAGCACTCTGAAAGTCTTGGAAAATTTTACTTTTTTTACTTTTAGATGTCTTGGCAGCTGCTGAGAGAGGGATTTTTCCTTGAAGCTAACAATTTTTCTTCTTTAATTACAAGGATGAGGAAGATTCTTTTGTGATGAAAGCTATTATTCATGCCATCAATGATGACAATGTTCCTGGATTACAGCACCTTCTGGGATCTCTGACAAATTATGATGTCAATCAACCCAACAAGGTAGTGTGGGTCTGTGGACAGGTGCGTGGGGGAGTAGCTATTACCCTGTTGAATAGAGCAACATGGTTGCGAAATAGAAATGTTAACACCCAAAATGGAAAGGAAAATACATGGATAGGAAATAACAGACTTTCTTAGGAGAAATTTTTGTGTTCTGTGTTCAGTCTTCTCAAACTACCTGAAAATGAAGTCCAAAATGTTTGAGGTTTTTTGCCTAGGCCTTTGGAAAACACTAAACAAATCTGTTGTCAAGAGCTGTGGTTTATCAGATAGCAGCCTGGTGTCTGTTTGCAGTTGTTTCTTGTGGCAGATGAAGATGGCAGAATATGTAGGAATATCCAGACTGCCAAAACTGACTTTGCAAAGCACTGTTAAAAACAAAAGTCCCATACTGCAGAAACTGGTTATGTGAACGTAGTGTTAGATGGTGTCATTCAGTTTCCAAAATGAAATGACTTGCCCTGCTACAGTATTTCAGTGTGCTGCTGCTGTAGTAATGGGAGTAATGGAACTGAGACTAAGAGACCAAAGTTCTGTTGCTGGCTCTGCTGTTTAACCTTGGATAAATCATCTCTGCTCTAATTTTCACTTTTTTGAATGGTTATACTGACCTTCATTATAAAGTACTTTGAGAAATGCTCATGAAGAGCACTATAAAAGTAGAGTGTCTGTTATTTTACTGTGGTGTGGTCTTGAACCTTTCAAGAAATCACTGTGTTTTGTTTTAATGGTGCAGTCCCATTTAACTTTCCCATATGTTGCTGGTGGCTTGTGTCTTTGAGGTGATGTGGCAAACACCTTTGTTAATCTGGCTTAAAACGTAGATATAAAGAAGCTGGAAAGTGGAACATCCTTGCCAAACTGAGCTAATGAGAGCTTAACGTTAATATCGCTGATTTGAAAAGCATGACTTTAACATGTGGTGTTTCATTTAGTAATCCCAAAAACATGTAAGATTGCTGTACAATAAACTTATTTGGACAAAGGGACGAATTGTTTTCTATACAATATTGCCTGAAGACAGTTTGAAACTGGAAATCCAGAGATGCTGTTCAATGCCTGCCCTCTACTCCACTCACTTTTCTTAATTCTTCAAAAATTGAATGTATCATTCTTACTTGTATTTCGTTGTTAGCATGGAACACCTCCGCTACTGATTGCTGCTGGCTGTGGAAACATTCAGATGCTTCAGTTGCTTTTAAAGCGTGGATCCCGTATTGATGTTCAAGATAAGGTCAGGGTTCAGCTTTGTCACCATTCTGAATAATTTTTTGAGTACAATTAGCAGAAGACAAGCAGTTCAGACCAAGCTGTGTTCGAAATTAAAAATTCTGGGCTGTAGAGCCTGTTTTCTGTTTTCCACAGCAAAAAGATAAAAGCAAGTCTTTAATAATGTCATTTATTACTAGTGCATATCCTCTGATTTGATCACTTTATTAGCAAAGTAATTTGAATTATACTAATCTTAAAACATAGTTCATGCTTACAAAATTGCCTCAATTAGTTCAAATTAGTGATTGCCCTAAAACACAATGGTGAACTTTATTTAATATGGAATGATAAATGCACGTTTTGGTGATGGGGAAGATCGCAACTAAAACTCCTGTGTGATGGAGGCAAGTTTTTTTTCAAAATGTGGTAATGGGTTTTGTTTAAAGCAAATGTGAAGCACTGTCTGCTTCTCTGTCTAGTAGATGGTAAAGTAAGCAGCAGAAAGGTTTTTATCTCATTGCTATTCTTTCAAAAAATTGCTTACAAGGGGGAGTTAGTGATCCTGTTAATAATGTTTGCATAGAGGGGGTTTTTGTTGTCGTTGTTGGTATGAGGGGTTGAATCAATTTGAATTTTTTTTAAAAAAGTAAATATATTCATACAAGCTTGAATAGCTGTTCAATATATCTGTGGACATCTAAGTGCATGTATACTTCAGTTGAAAATCTAGAATTAGGATTCTAAATTGATCAATAACATCTGTTATCAAATATTTTTGACAGGCTGGATCTAATGCAATCTATTGGGCTTCTCGACATGGTCATGTAGAAATGCTGAAATTTCTCAGTGATAGCAAATGTCCTTTGGATGTTAAGGATAAGGTAGGAAGAAAATTATTTTCCTTTTTCATGCAGAGAGCCTTTTCAAAATTATTTTAGCAAAGAGAGCGGTTTTTCAATTGGAATGATTTTCAGCTGTGCCATAATTCCAAGAATTTGACTGGCTTTTTTAGTATGGTTTTATGAGCTGACATATAGGGCTGTGATAACACAGCTTTAAAGTAGCAGCATGTACTGATTATTTTCCTGACAACTGGTAACCAAGCACGCATATTAAATGTGGTGAGTACATGGTGATTAGGTGGGGAAGTACAAACCTAAATTAATTTTCACTTGAAGACTAGATTTCTCATTGGAACTCAGGGTAAAATCATGATTTGGTTTTTCATTCCTCTTGATTGAAAATGACTTTTGTCTGACAAGTAAATTTGACTGTTATTAAGTTGAGTATAATGAAGCCTAACAATTTGTAGCTGATGAGCACTTACCTTGTCTCCAGCAGTGTTACTTGAGCAACTTTCACCCTAGAAACTAGTTGCTGTTAAAATCTTGCACCACAGCAATGTTTTTATACTAGCCAAAGCTCCAGTAGAGAGGAAGTTATACTTGTGAAACACAGCTTGCTTTGAGGGAACTAGCGTGAGGCAAGGCACATTAGCAAAATTAGCCCATTCCTAGGGCTACTAGGAAAGAGATTACTCTCTTAGTAAAAATACAATTTCTTTTTTCACATAATTTCAGCAAAAGGTTACAAATTAAATGTAATGACCAAAATATTCCAGGGAATACCAAAAATGTTAGGCCAGCTCCTTACATTTATTTATATAGGGTGGAGGGGGAGCGTATGAAAATAGTATGAATAGAAATAGGATGTCTGTTTCAGCACCAATTGCACATGCAGCTGCCGCCTCATATTGCTCAGAAATCCCATTGTGGCTGTGACCTGGAACAAATTAAGTAGGAAAATAAATTCTGAAAAAGGAAGGCCTTTGAAAAATAGCTTGTCAGGTGGTCGTGTAACTGTCACGTACAACTACTTTGTAAGTGGGGGATCTCTGCTGACTGCAGCTGTGCTGCTGGGTGATGGGGAGGGGAAGTACCCCATGCAGCATACAGGCATTCAGGCTGTACATAGCAGGGTATATGTAGGGGTGACATACAAAATTACACTGTCACGTTTTTCTGTAATTGCAGTCTGGGGAGACCGCTCTCCACGTTGCAGCTCGGTATGGGCATGTGGATGTGGTTCAGTTTCTCTGTAGCATTGGATCCAATCCAAACTTTCAAGACAAGGTGAGTTATGGACACTCTTTTTTTTTCTTCCATGAATAAGGCTTTAGTATGAGTGGTCAAAACTCTTAGTCTTGCCTTGCAGCCTCTGGCATGTTTGCATTTGAAAAAAAATAACAGAGTTATGGAGGTTTCAATACCTCTTAATAGATGAAGACCATGCAAAAACCAGGGTGCGTGAACCAACTACTAAAACACAAGTTCTCTTGAAAATGGAAGCTTAAAGATGGAGAAATTCAACATCATGAAGGTGTGGGTGGTGGTGTGTGCTCTGTGAGTTCAGCTAAAGCTTTTTATTACTTTTTGCCTTGACTTCAGCTTTGTTTTAGCCATCATGGGACTTTTCTGAAGTGTCAAGCACTCTTTTCTGAAAATGAGAGGAGGACTCAGGAGGCCTTCTTTAGAGCTCTTGTGAGAAAACAGGAAAGAAAAGGCTTAATAGAAAAAACCTCACCCATTTGACCCAAGTTTAACTGTGTGTGGGAGTTCCACAAGCCTCCCCAGGTGCTGCGTCCTCTAGGACTACCTTTATATTGTTTAAGCAGCAGCAGGCCAAGGGACCACAGGACATGCTGTTCGGCTGTTTCTTTCCTCAGATTTTTACAGAAACCTTGAATACAGTCCAAGTTCTCTACTATTATTAGCATTGATTGTCTCCTCATTTATATTTGCCAGGTACAGAAAGGTTATCACATTTCTCAGAATTTGATAGAATGACTTTTTTGGTTGGTTTTAATCCTCCCTGCTTTTCAGTGGGCTACTTTCAATAGCGTATTTTTGTAAAATATTTTTGTTTCTTGTTATAACATAACTGTTATAAGGTACAGTGAGGTTGAAGGTGAATATTTTGAAGCTTCCTGGGTTCATGCAAAAAGCAAATTAGAACTTTAGTCACAACTGAACTCAAAAAGCCTACAGTTTCAAATGCCTGTCTTGATGCACGTTAAAAGGATTCAGGTTTCTAAGTACCTGTCACTGCCTACGCTCCTGAATCATTAGGATGTGCTTTTTGAACACGGTAAGCAATGTTCTGCCTCAAACTGCAAGTCTAGTGGGAATTGCATCTCCTTGGCGAGTGATCTGTTTTAAACATTGGATTAATCGCTCAGCACACAGGATGTAGAAGTTGCTTGTGAATGAGGATCAGTTTTCAAGTAAGAGAACCAAGATAGTTATCTTCAGAAGCATGGAAACATCTAAGATTGCTGACAGGTGAGGTGTTGTCACTAGACAGTTTTATGGTGAGAACCACGGTCTCAGAATACAGGTAACGACAAAAATTTAGTATGTTACTTTAACAACTTGGTACGTCAGCAGGAGTTACGTTTGCTTTGAGAATGTCAGCATTAGAAATGACAAAATCTTTTTATAGGGCTTACTTACTAAACCGTCATATTTTGTGTCATATTCATCTCTAAGTTAAGCTGGGGAATTGTTCCTCCTGGCATTTGGTTCAGCTCTGTTGGTTTGGTTTTTATTTTCTGTGTTGATAGGAAGAAGAAACCCCACTGCATTGTGCTGCTTGGCACGGCTACTACTCTGTTGCCAAAGCACTCTGTGAAGCAGGTTGCAATGTGAATGTTAAAAACAAAGAAGCGGAGACTCCGCTCCTGACCGCATCTGCTAGGGGTTACCATGATATTGTGGAATGCTTGGCAGAACATGGGGCTGACCTTCATGCAACAGACAAGGTTAGTTTAAGTTGCTTTTGGTCAGGAATTACGTCCAAAGATCACAGGTGTCACAGAGCTGTATCTCTGAATTTCTTCATTTGAATGCTGCAAGCCAGCAGTGTTTCCATGACGTAGGTTTTCTGAGCAGTTCACATGGAGACTATTGATGACTGCAGTGGTCTTTAAAGTTGCTCACTGATTATTTTTCCACGATGAGGTTTTTGCTGATTCGTTATCACCTTATCAGTTACCACCTCATGAGTAACACTGTGAAAAATGGCAGGAACATTGGGTTCTGTAACTGGCAACAAACTATTAACTTAAGAGAAAAATGGTTTGCCTTTGATTCCTATGGTATGGATAAATCACACCTATTTCCAATAACCTAAATTCCAGCTATTTCAAAATATAACTTCATTTTATTCAGAATTGATTTTTGTCTTTCATGGTGTAATCCCAAGAAATAAATCTTGCATTTCTTTGCTTGTACTCTTAGTATGCTTGTCCTTTTAGCCTCCTTTATTGCTGATCGTTCCTAAATAGTTATTAAAGCAAGTTCAGAAACATGCTTTTGCTTCTAAAAGAATTAAATTGTTTTTTTCCGGTCACATTGTCTCTTTAAGCTGTACCACAGAGAGAGAAAGCTCTGTCCCTAAAGTTACTGATCACTAAGCAGATTGCATGACTTTTGCATCACTAAATTCTGTTAGTAAACACCAGAGTGGTTTACAATATGCAGCTGGTTGTTACAGTTGGTCTCTTTCCCACCTCCTAGGGAAGTTGTCAGTAGGGAATGTGAATTTGCATTTCATCCATTCCACTGCAAAGCCCAGTGGCTTAATAGAAATTTGTGTTCATCCCATAGGTGATTTGTTCTGATACTGTGCGTCTCCTGCCTCTACCCTCAAAGTTAAAAAAAAAAAAAAAACCACATTGTGATTCTTGAGGCAAGGAGATGCACCCAGTTACGTGAAATGACGGCGACTGTGCAAAATGCTTAGATTTTTAGCATTATCACTAACAAGCTGTCTTATGGTTTCAGGATGGTCATATAGCCCTACACCTTGCTGTGAGGAGATGTCAGATAGAAGTAGTTAAAACTCTGATCACTCAAGGATGTTCTGTAGATTTCCAAGACAGACATGGCAACACTCCCTTGCATGTGGCCTGCAAAGATGGGAATGTTCCTATTGTGATGGCACTCTGTGAAGCAAGTTGTAATTTGGATGTCACTAATAAGGTAAGTGGTACGTGGCTACCGAACTGCTTTGCTTAATAGCTCACCTATTGCATTAGATGACCTTTTCCAATTCTCTGATATAAAAAACGTTTTTCCTTTTATTTTTTTATTTCTTAAAGTGGCCAAATGCAAAGAAGCATTAAATGACATACCTTGCAAATGTACCTAGGTTTGTTTCAGTTGAATAGAAGATTGGAGGTCCATGAAGAAAGAGACCAAGTGAATTATCACAGTGTATTTTGCAGCTCAACTCTAATGTTGAAATGTGTACCAACCTTCTTCCCTAGCTGTGTAGCTTGGCTTTCTGCAGATTACATCTGGGCAGTGAAGAACAGATGAAATGTATTGCTGCTGGCCTTGATTTGATGTGATTTAATAACAGTAATTTATATATAGAATGTACCAGAAGACTGGTACATTTTTATGAAAAATCTGCTTTGAATTCTTCCAAATTGCCTGAAAAGATCTGCACGGTCATCTAACAAGGGATTTAACTGCAGATTCTATTCCTGATTATAAGTGTCATATTGTCTGGTTTATGTTTTTCTGCATTGAATTGATTTATTTTAATAAATACTAATCAAACATTGATCTTAGAATAGAATAGCTTTATCTATTAAACAAATTGTCACTGACAGGAAATCGTAGAATTAAAATGTTAAAAATTATTTTGAAAACTTGAAGTCAGCAGTCAACTAAGGTGCTTTTTAGGAACTTTGTTATTGCTTGTTGTTTCACAAACAGATAACAATTGCAGAAACACTTGGTAAATGTTATAACCCTAAAAATGTTGATTCCAGTGCATGTGGCTGGATTACTAACAGCTAAATATGTGAACTGTCCATAATTGGTGTAAGCACTTTCCAAAAGCACTTCACTAAACTCTGAGATACTAGTGCCTTGCTTGCTGCTTCAGTTGTGCTAGTGCTGCAGTGTACGGGATAACTCAATGTGATACTTTACAGGTGTAACGTTCTGGCTTTGCTTCTAGAGATCTTTGAGAGAAAAGTAAGCTGTTTCACTAAACTTCGCTTTGGTTAGTTTGAATAGGTTACGGTCAGCCATTGGACTTTGCTGACAGGCCATAGGGCTTAGGAATTGATACTTATCTCTGAATGTCTTTCTGTGCCATATTTAAATTTTACATATGCTACAGAGTTTAAAAGTTACTCGTAGGAAGCTTTATATTGCTATCTGCAATTTGTTTGATTCAGGTGTTGTAGCTTCTTTGGTTTTCTGAAAAAGTACATATTCTGGCAGTAACGTTTTGCGAGTTAACACTTCCATATATTACCAAAGCACTGACCTTCTCTGTGTTAGCCAGCTAAAGAAAGTTGTGGGGCTTTTGGCTTGAGGGTTGTCCAGTGCAATCACTTTTGGTTTTAATAATTAAAATCATCGACTGCCAGGTGAAAAAACTTAAAATAATGAGCTCCCAAGCCCTGCCTCTGAGCTTAAACCTGATTGTCTAGGCAACTAAATCCAGATCCATAGCTAAGAACACAGTTTGGGGAAGATGAGTTAATGCAGCACAAGGCTGGATTAGCACCTCTTTTTCCTAATGGAGAATGCTGAGCTGGCATCAGTGCCTTGGCTGCAAGCATGCTGTGGAAAAAAGCTGTGCTTCTAGTTTGTGTCCTGTTACTCTTTTTGGAGTGATGTATACTAGACTGATTTTTAGAGTGCCCTTTATTTGACAGGGTGAGTTTGCATCTTATCAAATAGAGAATATTTATTTATACTGGTCCTCTTCAGCAGCAAGTAGTGCTGAGGGAGTACATTAACATAACAACTCACATCTGGCATTGTCCCACATGTATGTAATACCAGTTGAAGGACCAAGTAGAACATCATATGCATTTATTTAGAAGTCATAGAATCACAGAGTCATTTAGGTTGGAAAAGACCTTTAGGGTTGAGTCCAACCATAAACTTAACACAGCCAAGTCCACCACTAAACCATGTGTCTTAAGCCGCATATACACATCTTTTAAATACCTTCGGGGATGGTGACTCAACCACTTCCCTCAGCAGCCTGTTTCAATTTTTGACAACCCTTTCAGTGAAGAAATTTTTCCTAATATGCAATCTAAACCTCCCTTGGCACAACTTGAGGCCATTTCCTCTTGTCACAGGGACCTCTGGAGATCATCTAGTCCAACCCCTCTGCTAAAGCAGGTTCACCTAGAGCAGGTCGCACAGGATCGTGTCCAGGCAGGTTTTGAATATCTCCAGAGAAGGAGATTCCACAACCTCTCTGGGCAGCCTATTCCAGTACTCTGTCACCCTCAGAGTAAAGAAGCTTTATCCTATCCCTGGGAGAAGAGACTGCCCCCCACCTCGCTACAACCTACTTTCAGACAGTTGTAGAGAGCAATAAGGTCTCCCCTCAGCCTCCTTTTCTCCAGACTCAACAACCCCAGTTCCCTCAGCCGCTCCTCACAACGCCTGTTCTCCAGACCCTTCACCAGCTTCGCTGCCCTTCTCTGGGCACGCTCCAGCACCTCAGTGTCTTTCTTGTAGTGAGGGGCCCCAAACTGCACACAGCATTCGAGGTGTGGCCTCACCAGTTCTGAGTACAGGGGCACAATCACCTCCCTACTCCTGCTGGCCACACCATTTCTGATGCAGGCCAGAATGCTGTTTGAGTTGAGGTGTAGGGTTTTGAGGAGCTGGGCATCTTTACAGTTTTGCAGCAGTCAGAATTTTAGCTTTGCTTTCAAATACTCTTCTGTGAAGTAATTTTGTGAGTTTGTTTCTGAATGTAAGGTTGAAACATGGAGAATGGTATTGAAAGGACAGATATATGTGAAGTAATAGTAAGCGGAGTTACAAGCACGGAATATACAGTAGTGATATTTATAACAGCAGCTTGAACATGAAAGACCAGAAGTGGATGACATGGGGACCTGTTGTCAGTGGAGAGATTCAGGGGAAGAGCAAAAATTGGGGAAGCAGCACTTTCCCTTTGTCACAAAGTGCAAATTCCTTAAGGCTGACTGGTGCATTCATCAGTTTTATTCCTTTGGGTGGGAGGGAGAGACTGCAGATATGGAATCTTCAGTAATACTTGGATTGAAGTATAATCCAAAGCTTTAAAGGTTAAGGACTTAGTGTTGCTTAATTGGTTTGTATTCAATTAAGCAAAATACAATAACAATCACTGGAAATTAGAAAGACGTTGTCAAATACAGCCAAAAAACTAAAGGATTCCCTCACAGTTGTGAGGGATTTAGGCATAAAATTGTTTCCCATTTTTTAAGTAGTCAGTCTAGCCTTTGTTTTTAATTGAGCTTTAAGCAGTTGTGCTTAAGCTGTAATCAAAAGTACTTTTTCTTACAGTTTTTGCAAGATCTTCACTGTGTATCAGTACGTATAATTGTACAATATGTTTGATTCTTAGTCATAAAATTTAGAGTGAAGCTCTTTGACAAATATGATGACACTTATTTCCCTGTGTTAGTATGGAAGGACACCTTTACATCTGGCAGCAAACAATGGCATTCTTGATGTTGTCCGGTTCCTGTGTCTTACTGGTGCCAACGTAGAATCTTTAACCTCTGTAAGTATTGAGAAATACTGTTATGCTTCTTTTATGTATTATAGTAGAAAATTAATTCATCTCTTGGAGGAGGGTGGAATAAAGGACAATGGTCTAATGTAATTACGTTTTGAAATTTAAAAAATACTAGGCTGCTGTATGCCCACAGCTTGAAAAGCATTCTGTGTTGTCCACTTAATTCCTTCTTACAAAGGAATTTGAAACTTGTTAAGGTACAGTACAGCTACCGCTTTATCTACACCTAAGGAATTTCTTCACCTAAGAATTACTTGTAGCGTTGAGTTTTCTGTAAGCACAGTGGGTTACTGTCACTAAGATGTACCTTATTTCACATCACGTAGAGTTGCCATACAAATGTATTGTATATATCTTAAATATTTTTCTTGCTTTCAGGGGATTAAAAAGTTTTATATTCATGGTGGGAGATGTGTGGGTGCATGGATGAGTATCCTTGTAAAACAAATCATTTGTTTCAGATCAGTCAGCAGCACTACTTCCAGTTAGCACCACTGAGGGTATTTTTTATTCTTACTAAGGTGAGAAATGTTATCCTAGCTGACATATCCACAGCAGGAGTAAAGTGTCCTTTATCACACACACCTCATGCACACGATACATTATAGGCGTCATACACACCGTTACTTGTGTTTTAAACAAACTCACCATGTTGTATTTTCAGATGCACTGGATTAGTTTATATAAGTTTGCTGCTTACCCTAACCAATGCATTCTGCATGGAAATAACTATTGTTCTGTATATTGAAATCATGTTGTGATTAGATTTTAGTTGAGTCCATGTTTTTTAAAGTTTTTCTCCTAACAAAGTATCCCTGAGACAACTGAAATTGAGGGAAAAAGAATCACAGAATGTTAGGGGTTGGAAGGGACCTCAAAATATCATCTAGTCCAACCCCCCCTGCCAGAGCAGGACCACCTACAGTAGGTCACACAGGAACACATCCAGGTGGGTTTTGAATGTCTCCAGAGAAGGAGACTCCACAACCTCTCTGGGCAGCCTGTTCCAGTGCTCTGTCACCCTCACAGTGAAAAATTTTTTCCTCATGTTAATGTGGAACCTCCTCTGCTCCAGCTTGCACCCATTTCCCCTTGTCCTGTCTTTGGCCATCACTGAGAAGAGCCCGGCTCCATCCTCCTGATGAATAAAGCTATTTCATTTGCTCTACCCATTTGGTAGAAAATACAGTTGGTTTTGGTGTTTTCCTGTACATTTAGCACTGTGGATTTTTCTCTAAGCATGTATCTCATGTGGCAGAATGCCAGTAAGCCTGGAATTGTGGCTTAAACAAGTTTAGCATCTAAAAATGACTTTTTGATAACTACTAGATTGTAGATTGCCATGTCTCCTCTTAATCAATAATGATGAAATGTGCATGCAGTGGACCTTGTGGGATATTTTACAGAATTTCCTTTGTCACCTGCTTTTGTCCCTTTTTTCTTTTTTCCGTGTTTTGTTTTTCCTTGGATTTTCCTTGGATTTCCTGTCTTTTTTTTTTTTTTTGAATGTCCCGTTGTGTATCAATATTTTCACTGCTACATACTGTAGAAATAAGATATAACAAAAAGGTGATGGGGGAATTCTTGAGCTATATCACTTCATTTATGTCATGAAGGCTGTGTTGGTATAATTGCCTGTGTTGACCTTCCAAGATAAAAGTACTTTTAATGTCTTCAGTTTAGATAAGTTTGAAGGAGATAACAAAGTAAATCGTGCTGATACTAAATCTGGCAGGAGAAGCAGACATAATTAATATACATAACTATCCATTATTCCATCAGTGTTGTGGCAGAGAGGAGGGAAAAGGAGGAGAGGAAGGGAGGAAGTGTGTGTGGTGATTTTAATAGCATTTCAGTTTTGCATTAGTTTGCTAGGTGGATGTTAAACTGTTCTGAAAAGTCTTATTAACAGCTCTTTCTGAGCCAGTGCAGTAGAATTAATTGCCTTTTTCTTATCTCGGAATGCCATTTCTGAGGATTTAACTTTTTCAGCACTGTTAAGTAACTGGACTGAAGTATGATTTCCTTGTCTCCTCCCCAGGCTTTTAGGACTAGTTTGATTTTGAATTTGATTGCAGGAATGTTGTTAAGTGACCTTAGAAAACCTTATGCTCCCAGAGTATACAATCATTTCCAATGTTTGAATAGCACCCAAAAAATTCTGTTGTGCTCACATGCTGGCTGGCATGATGTTCTTGGCCTCTCCTCATGGAAGTTTCTAAAATTGTACCAAGTAAAATTGTCATATTAAAACCTTAAAAACTTGGAATGATGATGCTTGGGCCAGTTAAACTCAGGACCAGCTCTTGCAGGTATAGCTGTCTTATTTGCAGCTAAGGAGCTAGCTAGCAATTGCGATGAAATACTACCACCAGGTGTGAAATACACTTTCATGGATCCTGTAACCAAACCCTTTTCAGATGCCAGCTCTGCCTACACATTGCTATTCCAGCATACAGATACCCTGTGCTTTTCAAGAAAGCTTAAATAGGAAAATAACTTACTGAAACCTATTTGCTATTTTGCTTGTGTATGTATTTTCTAATTCTTCTTGTGCTCTGCAGTTCATCCTGCAGTGGATATCCAGAGAATTAAACAGCCTCATCTTGTTTCCAGTTTTGGACAAGAAAGGGAACTTTGTTCTGGTGATCACTTTCTCATAGAAGCAAATGCTTTTTCTACCTGTTCTCTCAATCAATAAATTAAGCTTCCAGATCCAAGTATAAATTTTAAACAGACATGTGAAATGAACCTGCTAGCATCTGTCAATTTAAACATCTCAAAATGCTTTTTTTGGATAAACTTGACCTAGAGTTCTTTCTGCGGTACATGGGCCTTGTTGCCAATGCTCTGGGGTATCCTTCATCTACTCCGCAGGCCTTTCTGCCTGTCTTGTTTCCTGCGTGGTCTGATGACCGTGGACTTCAAAAATGGTGCTTGTCAAGCAGTGCCCTTGCTAAGGCATTGCTCCATAACAGAAGGTGAACTCAGAGCCAAGAGTAAACAACAAGGCAGGCAGGGACAGTGCCCTCACCAGCAGGGGCCCTGTCCCACAGTACCCAAGCAAGGCAAGCAGAGCAGGTCCAGTGATGGCAACCAGCTTCAGCCGAGAGTCCAGGTCACCAGACAAGTCCCTAACAATGAGGCAGGTCTGAGGTTAAGTCAAGGTCAGGAATTGGGCTCGATAACCATGGTCAGCCAAGGGTCTGGTATCACCAGGCAAGTCCATAGTGAAGAGACAGATTCAAGGTCAAAGCCAGCAGTTAGGGGCTGGGTCAGTGGGCTTCATGGCCACACATAGGCGTATAGCTGTAGTGTTGCTCAGGTGAGGACCAAGGGCAAAATCCTCAGTCTAAGAGCAACACCTGACCAAAGGTGGCACAAAAGCCCCTGATATGGCTTCTTTTCAGGTATTCTTCCTTCACAGCAGTCTAAACGAAGATTAGACAGCTGTATCAGACAGCTGGTCTTGAGCTCAGGAACCTGTTAGGACATGTGGAGGGAGCTCTGGGTCATGACAGTGCCATCCCATTGCTACAGGTAGGCTTGCTCTCTGCACATCTGCTTAGACTTTTAGCAATTTGAACCATTCCTGTTGCCATTTTTCCAGTTTTAGGAGCAGTCAGCTCCATCCCATTATAACCATGCTCTCACATCAGGCTCTGGCTGAGCGACTGCCATCCATGCCCCTTGCCAAATACTCACCAGATGGTTATTTCCTTTGTGTTTGTGCCCAAATAGCTGTGACTGAGCTAAGCCCAAGCCAGGCTTGAAGCCAGAACAAACCCCCACGGAGCAAACAAGGATGTCAAGTCACCCAAGCAGTGCCAGGGCAGTTGTGGTGTACCTACAGAGAGGCATGGGACCTGCTCTGATTCAAAGGGCCAATGCCCGTGGCAGGGATCTGTCGCTGTGTATGTTCTTGCTGCTGGAGTTTGCCAGGCCATCTCCAACCTTATGTTGCAACAGGAACATGCTGTATCAGGCTGTATCAGTCCTGCTTTGGACTTAAGAGGCCAAAGATTTGGGGATCTGGATAAAATTCAGACTTTAGGTTGGTGAAGGCCACATCCTGTTAACCACAGGGATTCTCAGAAAGGGGATCAAGGTTTCCCCTTCATTTGAAGGTTTTGCGTTCCCCTGGATATGCCCAAGACCGGAAACTTGAGAAACACTAAAGTGTTGAAGCAGTTCTCCTGATGGCAGGCTAGCTGCCAAGTCACTAGACCACTCTTCCTCTCATACAGCAGGCAGTCAGGATTAACTAGGATTTGAAGGGTAGGGTCAGAACAGACAGAGAGATTCTTCCCTTTTAATACATCCTCTCTAAGGAAAATTAATTTTAAAAAATAGATTCAGATGTTTCTTTACTAAAGATGCAATTACATGTCAAATACGGAAGGAATGTAACAGTAAGGTATTGGTTCAAATTTAGTCAGTTCAAGCCATCACCTGCAATTTTGCCTGTTTCTTCCTAATTTTTTCTCTGTCTGAATTATCTGAAGTCTGGAGTATATAACTTTAATGGAAACTTAAAAATGTCTTCTGCAGGTGGACACTCAATTGTCAAAGATAGTAGTTTCGTAGGTAGGGATAATAATCATGGTAACCTCAGGAACTACTTAAGCCAATGTAAGTTTCACATAAAAGCTACTAAAATCAAATGTAGAAACCCAAGAAAGAGGTCTTGGTTTTCTAGTACTACATCTTAATAATCAAAAGCTTTTACCTGACAGAGTGAATTAAGCAAAGTGCTCATAAATTAGTTACCAAAATTTAAAACATCACCATAGCATTAATGTAGTTGTAAAAGTAGTAAGCAATTCTTCTTTCAGCCTATTTAATATTAAACTGCTGACCTGTGAAACATGGGTAATTAAACTGGCACGACCAGAATGCTGAAGGCAGCTTTGCTCCTCCTATATTTGCTGATGCAGTTTAAACCACAACTCTTACAATTTTCTTGTTTTCTGGAAACCTCCAGTGACTGATATGCCACTGTCATTCTTTATCTGTGAGTAAACAGCATCCACCTGCTATTCATGGGAGTGAATATGCTGATGTGTCCCCTCTTTGTGAAATGTTTAAACTTTCAGATCTGTTCAGTATGTAATATCTAGGAATCACTATCATCCTGTAATTGGTGAGAAGAGTAGAGGAATTCAGATGGGAGTATTGGCATCGCTCTTAGGCTCTGAATTCAAAGTATCTTGTTACAGTGTCATCCAGATGCCAATTTGTAAAGGAAGTGCTGCTGTACTGCATTGGACCGTATTTTTTTGCCAATTAAAAAAAATGGGGATTGTGGTGGGGGGTAATCATTACTGGTTGTTGGTTGTTCGGGTTTTTTGTTTGTTTTTTTTTTTTTAATTCTCCCTGTTTCATTTGCTTCTGACAGCAGTTCTGTTACTGTGAGCTATGTTGCGCATGCTTTTTTTTAAGCAAAAGGAAGGAACTGATGCTAATAATTTGTGTTTTAACAGGATGGGAAAACAGCAGAAGATCTCGCCAGAGCAGAGCAGCATGAACATGTAGCCAGTCTGCTTGCAAGACTTAAAAAGGTTGGGAATGCATTAATTTTAACTGAGGTTTTCATGTTTTTAAGATACCGAGAAAAGTCTGACTATGGCAAATCATATGATAAGGTATTCATCAAAGCTATTCTAAAAAGCTGTTGCAAAAATTCTTACTGGAATGATGTCTCTTCACTCCACACCCCACACCCCCCCAATATTTTTAATTTGAAATGATGCCCTCAGTTAAAGCTAGTATGTACATATTAACAAAAATTACTTAGCTAGTCTGTACCACTGATCTATCTTATCCTGTCTCTGACAGTGCCTAGCAAAGCATCTAAGGTGTTTAGAAGAAACTGGAAAATAAATTATTAAGAATTATCATATCCCACAAGAGGGCTTATTTCCCCATCATCACTGTTTTAGTTAGATCAGGATTATGAAGTACAAGGGGCTTGTGCCCCTTCTGGAAACTCTTAATACCGTATGGAATAGTTGAATAAGTTCTCAATGTCGTCTTTTAATTCTGCAATTCCAGTATCTCCAAATCCCCTGACAACTAGAACAGAGAGCTCATCTGGGATTGTTGTAAGGCAGTAAGTCTTAACACATCTGATACTCTTTGATTATTCTGGATAGTCAGCATCACTCATGCTGTGAAGGTTCAGGGAACACTTGCCTGGAGATTACAGGCAAGAGCAATGCCAATTAAAACAATCCTGTTTTAGGTATGCTGATGGGCCTGTGGAAAACTGAAATAAATTAGCATTTCAGAGTAGCAATTGAAGAGAGTGTGTACCAGGCACGGCCCATGTGGAAGTAGAATCATGTCCTTTAGTCCTGCGAGTAAATCCATACTTTCTAGGATTGTAAAATATATTGGTGAAGATGTCAGAAAGTGCCAAAGCTTTGCAACGATAGCTTTTGTAAACATTTGTCATAACAGTATCCATTTTGCATAGTGGTATCCCTGCACTGAACCCTTGCCTGTGTCTGCATGCAGATGGATAAATTTTGTGGTTTAGTTGTGATGTAAATATGGAACTAATCTAAGTTGACCTGAAACAAAAGGGAAAAGGTTGGATAAATCACTTCTGAAAGAGATGTTAGTAGCTGTAACTGTCTTCTTGATAGCAGAGTATACTTAGTTATTGAAGGCCTGCCTATATGTATGGCGAAAATGTATGGTAATTATATACTTCATCAGAGTATACTTTGCAACAGAGAATCAAACCAATTGAAATGAATAAATTACATCAAATCACTGAAAATATTCTAGTACTGCTCAATGTGGTCAGTATTATCTAGTTCAGGGCATACCTGACACCTGTTTTATTTTCAGTGCCTGTGAAGGGTTTTGTCCCTAGCAGCATACACATGAAGAACCTGCTGTCATAGTGGCTCTTGCAGGGGTTTCAGTATTAGCCATGAGGGGGTGCAGTGTTTTCATTGTGACTAACTTACTTAACAAATGCTTATTAGCGAGGAAAGAACTAAATTATATGTGCTACTATTTCTGCCAAATTCATCAGCTTAATTGCTGCATGCTCATAATGGGGGTGGGGGGGCTGTAGGCTCTTTTAATGACTCATCCTATGTGTTAAACTTTGTAGAAATTCAGAACAGCAGCTACTATTTAGTACTGTACATACTCATCCTTCCTTGCTATATAGCAAATCCATTGCTAATCTATTTTGTAGTGTTATTTTTGAAATGCTTTCTCTTTCTTTTTGTTGTGCTCTTATGGCATCTACAATGGAATTCATGGCTATCTCTAAGGTAGCTGATAGGTTTACCATAGCTTTTTCTAGTTCGCTTACCCTAGCCAAGGCAAAAACCATTGAGCAAAACTATGGAAGGAGCTGGGTCTTTCTATAAGTGGGTTTGCGGGAGATCGGACTTGACTCATATATGACTTTACTATTCCTTGTCCTAGTTGGTTAGTTATGATAATATGTGGGTATACAGGTCCTATAGCGCACTGACCTTTCCGTCCTAAGGGTAAAACTTTTCATGCCTTATTACCAAATAACCAATACCACCCTGTTCCCAAGGGAGTGGGCCACCCTTTGGGACTGGTAGAGTTATTTCTCCTAGTCTGAATTTTGTTCCACATGTTAGCACCCCCATATTTCCAATAGGAAATACAGTTAGGATACTTTCCTACAGTTACTGTTTCTCAACAATTTTTGTCAGTTGCGTTTCCTCCGCTATTGGAACTAATGGTTTCTTGGGAACGTCTCTGGACACACGGAACACCTACGCTCAAGTCCGATGGTTCACCAAGATCTAACACCCATTGCAGATCTTTAATTGATATTTCTACATATTCTGAAAGACTGATGGTTGGAAAGGCTCTTAATACTTCAGAACTGTTGGGGAAAGCTGTACCTATCAAGGAGAACCCACGTGCCGAATTTTCAGGTAGTTGTGCACAAATCCAACAGGAAGATAATTTAAAGTTGTCAACCACCTTCCTTAACAATTGCAAGTACACATTTTGATCCCATGCACCTCCCGTACCCAGGCGCATTCCGACCAGACTAATAGTTAATGTCCATCTTTTCATTGAACTCACAATTTTAGTGGTCCGACACATGTGGCATCGTGGCTTGGGAGCTTTCTTTACTCTGGTATGATGAATCCACGAAGCTTGTTCTCTAATCTTGATAGCCGTGTGGGAAGTTAGCAATACCTGGAACGGACCTTCCGATCTAGGTTCCAAGGGTGAGCCTGAAAGAGATCTGACATATATATAGTCACCAGGTTCAATATTATGCACAGGTCCATCAAGACCTCGGGCTCTAGTTCCTAAAACTCTTTTCTATCTCTTGAAGTTGCTTCTGTAGGCATATCACATAATCTGTTAACACTTCATCCCCGATTTGGGCCAATGTCCCCGTCCGCACAATATAGGGTTTATCATATAATATTTCAAATGGACTTAATCCTTCCTTCGTTCTGGGCTTAGTTCTAATTCTTAGGAGTGCCAGGGGCAGTGACTGAAGCCAAAGTAGACTTGCCTCCTGTCCTAGTTTCACAATTTGTAGCTTAATAAGTGGTTCATCTTTTCCACCTGACCACTTGATTGTGGATTAGATGGGGTGTGTAGTTGCCAGTCTATTCCTAGAAGCATACTGACTTGTCGAATGATCTTTGAAATGAAGTGTGGCCCTCGATCTGATGAAATTATTACTGGAACTCCAAACCTCGGTATTATTACTTGTAATAATACCTTGATCATCTCCTTAGCTTTATTGGTTCAGCAAGGGAATGCTTCTGGTCACCCTGAAAAGATGTCTGTCAAGACCAATAAATATCGAACCCCTCCCTTTTCTTGGGAGCTCTGAGAAATCAATTTTCCATTGTTGTCCTGGATAGTTTCCTTTCCCTATCTGTCCATGCTGGGCTTTAGGGTCTGTCTTGGGATTACTCTGTAAACATACCTCACACTGCTGTGTTATGTGCTTGATAGTGGTATACAGATTTTGGGCAACTATAAGCTGACTTAAGTATTTATGCAAGGCTTCTGTTCCCCAATGGGATTTTTTATGCTCGGCCATGACTATGGCCCACAGTAATGCGGATGGTATTATGACTTTACCTTGTGGAGTTTTTGCCCATCTCTCATTTTCTACTTTTCCTTCTAAATCTTCAATCAATTTTTGATCTTCTTTAGAGTATCTGGGTTCACAGTCAATTTGTATTTTACTGTCTGGGACCAAAGACTGCACCCCCAAATCACCCTCCTCAGCTACTCTCCTGGCTTCATGGTCCGCCATGGCATTGCCCAACTCCTGAGCTGTATTCTTTCTCTGATGAGCTTTACAGTGCATGATAGCCACCTTTTTGGGTAGTTGCACTGCTTCTAGGAGCTTGAGAATTTCTTCAGCGTGTTTGATATGTTTCCCTTGAGTGGTTAGGAGTCCTCTTTCTCTACATACTGCTCCATGAGTATGGACCACCCCAAAAGAGTACTTGGAGTCGGTCTAGATGTTAATTCTTTTGGTTTTGGCTAATTTCAATGCTCGGGTTAGAGCTATTATTTCTGGGTTTTGTGCTGAGGTGTTCGGGGCAAGAGCTTTAGATTCTGTTCCCTGATCTGTAGTGGTTACCGTGTATCCTGCCTTATGGATGCCTTGCCGAACGAAGCTGCTTCCGTCAGTGTTCCAGGAGTGATCAGCATCTTCCAGCGGCTCCTCTATTAGGTCAGGTCGGCTAGAGTAGACTGCTTCAATTGTTTCCAGGCAGTCGTGTGATACCAGTTCTACTGTAGCCCCACTAAGAAAAGATGCTGGATCGATAATGTTAGTGACCACTATTTCCACATCATCCTGCTCTACCAGAATAGCTTGATATTTAAGGAATCTTTGTGGTGAGAGCCAGTGTCCTCCCTTCACCTCCAACACCGCTGATATAGTATGGGAGACCAATACTGTAATCTTTTGACCCAATGTAAACTTAGGGGCTTCTTGGATGTTCAGTACCACCACTGCTACTGCTCTTAAGCAGCTAGGCCAACCCCTGCTTACATCATCAAGTTGGTTGGAGAATTATGCTACTGCCCTGCGGTACAGTCCTAGGTTTTGAGCTAGGACCCCTAGGGCTATTCACTGCTTTTCATGAGAGAACAGCCAGAAAGGCTTGGTAATATCTGGTAACCCCAAAGCAGGGGCCTCCATCAGCCTTTAGCTGGTGGAATGCTCTTTCTGCTTCTTTATTCCAGACAAGGTTCTTTTGATTAGATTTTAACAATTTATAAAGTGGCTTTACCATGAGTCCGTAGTTATATATCCATAGGCTACACCATCCTGTCATTCCTAGAAAAGTAAGAAGCTCTTTAGCTGTCTGTGGTTGGGGGGTCTGGCAGATAACCTCCTTCCTTGTCGTTCCCAGGATCCGCTGGTCCGCCATTATCTTGTGTCCAGGGTAAGTCACTTGTTGCTGAGCTATTTGGGCTTTCTGTGGAAATTCTCGATAACCATGAAGTCCAAGAAAATTTAACAGACTAATTGTCCACACTATACAAAGTTCTTTCGTCTCAGTGGCTATCAGCACATCGTCTACATACTGTAATATTATTCCAGCTCCATGTGGCCGTTCCCATTGTTCCAGGTCTCTGGCTAATTGGTTTCCAAAAATAGTGGGGCTGTTCTTAAATTCCTGTGGTAACACCATCCATGTTAGCTGCGTCTTCCTTCCAGAGTCTGGGTTTTCCCACTCAAATGCAAACAGCAACTGGCTGTCTGGACTCAAGGATAGGCAAAAGAAGGTGTCCTTTAGGTCCAATATGGTAAACCAAGCGAATTCAGGTACTAATTTAGTTAGCAACATATATGGGTTTGCTACAACTGGTGCAGATCCTCAACAATTTTATTAATAGCTCTAAGATCCTGTACTATTTGATAATTACCATCTGGCTTTTTGACCAGTAAAATGGGAGTGTTATATTCCGATTCACACTCCGTTAGTAGCCCGTACTTGATGAATCAGTTGATTACAGATCAGATCCCTTCCCTATCTTCCATTTTAAGGGGATACTGTTTAATCCTTAGGGGTCGTACCCCTGGTCTGAGTTTAACTATTATTGGAGAAGCATTTTTCGCTTTTCCTGGTATTTCCGAGGCACATACTCCTGGAAAGACTTGGTTCTGGACCTCCTCAGGTATTTCTGAGGGGTATTTATGAGGGCTAGAGTCAAAATTTCAATTAATTGGTCATTTCCCACTTGGAGTTCTAACTTTCCTTTTTCCAACTTTATTTCTGCCTTTAATTGTTCGCCCTAGTAGTGGTTTGGGTAAATGAGGCATATACAAAAATTTGTGTATTCCCAGTTGTTTCCCCAACTTGAATTTAAGGGGTTTTAAAAAGTACGCCTTTTCACTCTGGCCAGTAGCTCCCCTTACCATTACAAAGTCATCATCTATGGGTGTCAAAGCCTGATTTAAAACTGAAAATGTTTCCCTGGTATCAACTAGAAATTCCATGTCATGTTGTTGTTAGCTTTAATGTAACCAGTGGATCCACCAGGGTAGGTTCCCCAGGTCCCCATCAGTCCTCCTTAACATGTGCCTGTATCCTTCCCTCCCCTCCCTGTCTGTATCCTTCCCTCCCCTCCCTGTCTGTATCCTTCCCTCCCCTCCCTGTCTCTCTGGACATTCGTTCTTTCAGTGTCTCTTCTGTCTTCACTGTGCACTTTGATCCTTCCCTAAAGGACTCTTGGGTCCCCCACTTTTGAATCCTCTACTTTCTTGTAGCACTGCCACCAATGCCCGCCTATCTTTCCTCCAGTCCTCTATTGCTAAACACTCTCCATGCTTCATCTAATAAAGTTTCCAAGTTTCTACTTTCTGTCGTTCTCAATTTCTGCATCTTCCTTCGGATATCGCTTGCTGATTGTTCAATAAACGGAGACACTAACTGCTGGATTCCTATCTCTGACCCTGGGTCTAAGGGGGCATGTCGCCTCATAGTACCCCGCAATTTGTCTGAAAATTCCGAGGGGGGTCTCCTTTGGACCTTGCCGAACAGCATATAAGGCTGACCAATTGATTGCTTTAGGGATAGCTCGCTCCCTTCCCTTTATGATCCAGTCCTTGTGTTCATTTAGCAGTTTCATTTGGGCCCCTCTATTAGGGTCCCACTGTGGGTGGGAAGGGAAAGTGTTCTTTAATATCCTCTTCTGTCCCTTTAAGATGATCACTGGCCAAATCTTGGGCCATTTTTAAAATTAACTGCTTTTCTGTTTCAGTCATATGATCTAATAACAATTGATTATCGCTCCAATCAGGATTATGTTGTTTTATTAGGAACTGGAAGTGTCTTGTCACCCCCACGGAGTCATTTCGGTAGCTTTTCACCACTCCTTTCCATGTTTGGAGATCAAAGGAGGAGAAGGAAACTTGTAAGATAGATTAAGATAGGATCTCCCCCTGGTCCTACTGCTTGCCTTAAGGGTGCTTGCAACACTGGCTGCTCTTTCTTACTCCAGGTGTGAGAGGATAGCAGGCTACTTGGAGAGATTCCAGAATCAATGTCCTCACTTTTACTCTTCCTTTTGTGCCCCTTGACGGGTCCAGCCTGTTTCTGGTGGTTTATAATACTCTGGTAGATCCCCTGTTTCAGGATTTCTTATTTTCCCCGGCTTCGTACATCTCTGCCCTATGCTACATGCCAAACAACACCTCTTCAACTTTCCTTTCCCTTCTCTCTTGTTCTCCTTTTCTAAAGCTAACACCATCGGGTCCCGTGGGTCTGTCGGTCCACAGTCAGTATAATACTTGGAGTGGTTTCAGAAGGTGAAAAACATATCTGCATATGAAACTTCATCCCATTTCCCCATCCTCAAAAACATCAGCTGCAACAGGGTATTATAATTTAGTGTCCCATTAAAGGGCCACTTCTCCCCATCATCTAATCTGTACAAGGGCCACCACTGATTACAATACTTTATTAAGGTCTTCTTACTCACACCCCCACCTGATGGTCCCCCTATATCCTTCCAATGAGCTAAAACGCGGCCTAAAGGGCTCCTTTTTAGTATTCTGCCACTTTGTCTGTGACCCATATCAATAATAATAAAATCCGTCCCAGAACAAATACTTGCCTCACAAACAAACAACAACGCCAGCAAAATATTCAGGTTCCGTCCTGACGCTGGACCCGAGGAATTCTAGAGTTCACACATGCAATTCAGTATTTGTCTCCAAATGCCACCAGTAATACTTGGTTTAAGTATAATTTAAACCTTGTCATATGCTTCATTTGTCTCCGGCTGCTCTCCTCGCGGAGAACACGGAACCGCGGATCAGAACTCCACACTCGCTCCGCAGCTGTGCCGCGTCTCACTACTGCAGCGCATGCACTCGACCACTCACAAAAGGGCCCCTTATAGTTCTCGTTCATACACTACAAAATACCGATTACAGCAGCGATCAAATGCACATACAGCATAAATCATAAACCGTTTACCATTTGCCACAGGTCCACGCCTATTGATGTCAATTAGATTATAATACACAGTACCAGATTTTACATTTGATGACAATAATGGCAATGCCGCATACCACTCCCATAGCCAGGGCTAGGAGACCCCAGGACCGGACCTAGAGTACCAATAGTCAGGGTACAGAATTCACCCTGCCACTGCCTTATGGGGACTCAAACCCCAACCCCAGGGGCGAGCACCGAGGCTCTTTACCTCTCGTAGGACGTCTCCTCACGACTTACAGGTATCCCATTACTTACTTATAACATACCTGGTCCACCGATGATGGTCCTTGTCTGCCCCAGCAGTCATCTGGATGAGAGGCAGACCCCTCCCGAGAAAATCTCGGGGGCGCCCAGAGGAGTCGCGTCCTCAGCAGGTCCCGCAGCCAGACAGAGAAGGTCCCATCTGGGTCGCCAAAACGAAGCACGGAAACAAACTCTATAACTCAGAGAGTTACAAAGCAAGTATGTTTATTACAGCACTGATTGCAAGGGGGGTTGCTCCTCCTAGCTTGTACACTGGGTCACATTGTAAAACTCTATTTATTACATAGTACAATTAGTTCAGAGAATAGGTAGGGATATTGTAATCGTTTCTCAGAAATTACTATGTTTCCTCCTCTTGGTGCATGCGTGCTGTCATCTGGTGGTCGTCCTTTGAGGGCTTTCGGAGGAAGGCTCATAGTCTTCTTCATCGTGTACTTCTCAGCTTTGGTACAGAATCCCAGACTGGCTTAACTCCAAACTGAGGAACCAGTCTGAAGCTGGTGATTCTCTCACAAAGACAATCAAGTCCTTTCTCATCCAAGCTGTTCCTACTGTCTCAAACATTTCAAGACTGCTTCTGCTCCCTTATCTTGTGCTAAGTCTAGCTAGCTAATTTCTACTTTCTACTAAGCTATGCTAAATTAACTCTTCATTCCCCAAATCAACTGAGAGAGGAGAATTAAGCAGGAAGGCAGATGTGTGGAGGCTTGGGAGTAAAGAGAGAAAGCAGCCTGGAGAAGGTACACTTGCAGTAGAGGGGTAGAAATAGTGTGTGAGAGGTCTTCTAAGGTAGAGTAAGTGTGTGAGAAAAGGAGAGACAAGAGTGATCTGGGAAAACCGATATTTACTTTGCGAAGTCTGGGAAAACCGATATTTACCTTGCAAAGAACTGAGGTGAAAATAAACAGAGAACTAGGTGGGGTGAGGAGGGAGTAGGAAGAGAAGAATTCTCCCAAACACGAGAAGTGCAGAAAAAGTTGATTAAAGAAGAGGGGAAAAGCACGTTGAGTTTTTGGATTGCTCAGCTGGTAGCTATCACTGCGAAATTCTCCAGTGCTGCATGTATATTATATAATATTATGGATATTGGTTATGCTACTGAGACTGACAGGTAAGGAGAATGGGTACTGAAAGGGGATAGTTTTCCCTCCTTTGCCCTCCCCATCGGAGGTCAAAACAATCCCATTCACTGATGTTGAGCCTGAAGTCATGTATGCTTTTCATGAAGACTCAAGATTGCTCTTGAGAGCAAGCAGTCAGCCATGCCTTGTCTACATGTCCCTGCCTTTCTGCCAGCAATTGATCGCCTGTATGATGAAGCAAATGGAGGAACTGATCTAGGTGAACACCGGCTGGCAAGAAGGCATTACTTAAACCCTGTGTTTTGAGTTTTTTGGAAGGCAGAAGTTCCCTGCCACATGTTCTGATTTCTTCTTTATGTTGAATTTTAGGATACACACCGGGGGCTTTTTATCCAGCAGCTGCGGCATACACAGAATCCACAGCCCCGGATCAAACTGAAATTGTTTGGACACTCTGGTGCCGGGAAAACAACCCTTGTGGAGTCTCTCAAGTGTGGCCTGATACGAAGCTTTTTCCGAAGACGTAGACCTAGGCTTTCCTCCACAAACTCAACCAGATTCCCCCCATCTCCTTTGTCTTCCAAACCTTCAGGTATGGCTTTGGAGCTGTAACATTTGAATGAGAAAATATGTTTCTCTTAGTCTGTGTAGCTCCTAAGGAAAAGCTGTTGGCTGTACTGCAAAAGACGGGACAGATGAAGCACATAAGAAACCAAAGCAAAGCAGAGAGGATGTTGCTTTGCTCTGTACAGGCTCGTACCTCAAGTAAGAGCGAAGAGGAGCAGCAGATGTGGAGGGTGCAGGAACAGTTAAGGTTTTGTTCACTCAGATGCTGCACAAGTGAACTTGGAGAGTGGAGGGCAGGACTTGAAAACATTGCCATTTATTTTTCACAAAAAGTCTTAGGCTACAAACACCAGTGTCATGACCAGATTCCAGCATTGTGGTTTTGGGGGTTATGTTTTGTCAGCCTTTTTTTTGAGTAGCTTCAATAAACACAAAATTTAAGCAGTTGCTGCATCTGTGATCTTTAAGTAGTAACAGGGGATTCACAACTGCCTCTGATGCCTTGGAGTGCTTTTCCATAAGGTACAGGAGTGGATTAACCCGGTTAGAGGTGTCTAAAATTGTCTCCAAAAGAGGTGAAAATGGAGGTTTTCTACACGGAAGTAAATGTGTTCAAATAATAAGGAAACTTTTCCCATGTAGAACCAGTTTGCCTATATGAAGTTGAAAGAGCTGCAAGATGTGGAGGAACTAGCTAGGTTTACACTTCAGCTTGTGCCCAGCTTTGGAAGAACCCACAGTTGTGGCAGAAGGACGCTGGAAAGGGTAGTGAACTATTTGTCCAGGTCCCTTTTCTGACACTGAGAGGTTGCACAATGTATACAAGCTAAGCAGGCACTTGAGGAGCTCAAATTTAGATTGATGTTTAGAAGTATTCTTACTACTTAAGTTTTAGATGGGGTCAGAATTGCTTTTTTCTTTAATAATTTAATAATATCTTTGGATAATACTTGCAGGTCTAGGTTTCATTCATCATCTACAAGTAGTATTAGAACAGTGCTAGTAGTAGATTGCACATCTACTTCCTCTCTAGTCACCTGAGGAAGCTATAGGGTATTCACAGAGTGGCTTAACAAGACAAGATACCTGGCACAGATTGTGATTGCATTTGCTGTTTACTTAACACAAGGGGCTCACATATGTGACAACGGAATACATAAATTGATTCAATTACTCAGAAGGTTTTGATTTATTTATCTTAATTTACTGTGTCACAAAAGGGGAGATAAGTCACTCAAGGAATATCAGTTCCTGGAGGCAGTGCAGGAAGGTTTTGGCTGAAGACAGATTTATTTAATTTTTTTTTTATGTTGGTTGGTACCAGAACCAGAGGATAGGTGTTATGTACTTACACATAAAATCAGATAAGACTGCAAGTCAGATTGGCAAATCGTTGTAGAAATAATGGTGAATTTGAAGCATGCGCTTGAAAATAGCTTACCTAGAAATAAAGCCAGAAAATTGTGCGGTGCTATGCACACTTGAAACTTGTGCCGTTCTATGCAAACAAAGCTACTATGGCATTGTTTTAATGTTTGTGGAGTTTTGGGGTTTGCTTGTTTCAATATCTGTGCGTTTTGGATGAAAATAATTATATAACATGTAAATAATGTTATGGGTTGAGTGACATAATCAGATAAACATTTAAACCAGCACAATTTGGTCTATATTTGATCATGTGCTTAGGTCTTTTTAAATTCTGTAAAAAATAAGTGTGTGAATTCACCATGTTATTTGTTAAAAAGCCTAAAGGTTTAAATATTACAGTAGAAGACTGAACATGAGAGTATAGTTCTATGGCTGACAGGTAGTTTATTTCTATATTGCCCAAATATAAGAGTTCAGCATCTAGTGGAGGAAAGAAATCTTTACTTTCTCCACTAGATGGTGCAAGTCAATTAAAAAATTCTTTTGTTTCTTGTTTACTCTTATGGAGTCTGTGAATTAAACATGAACTTAAACAAATAGCATACGAGTAAAATAATTTTGGTTAAGGGTCTGCTTTTCTTCCCCACCTCTCCAGAAACAGTTGTTACATACTGGTATTTTCATCCTTACAGGAATCACCTATAGGAATATATAGCATTTCCATGCCAATAAAAACAGACAGTGCCATGAAATTGTAACCCTTAGCTAAAAAAGCATTCTATCTTTGCAACAGCGAGCAACTTTAACTATTAAAACTTTTCATTTCCAAATCATTCTGTTGTTTTCTATGCTCCCCCTGCCCCCCCGGCCCCCCAGCGGTATGACTGCTAAAGGACAATAAGTGCTATATGGGATCATTCTAGTATTTTCCTTTTCATCATTCAAATAAAGATGTAGTTGTGTATGCTCACAGTTTGCTAGTCATCTCCGTTCTTTGAAAAGCAGTTTAAGTTTTTTAATCAGCTTTTATGCCTTGCATACTTATTTTGAAGTGATCTGGTTGTGATTTTCACATGGTTTGTAAACTCATTTTCTTTTCCCTGACCCAGTTTCAGTAAGCATTATGAATCTTTATCCTGGTTGTGAGAATGTCAGCGTGAGAAGCCGTAGTATGATGTTTGAGCCCGGCCTGACCAAAGGAGTATTAGAAGCGTTCGTTTCACCTGCTCATCACCCTCACTTTTCTGCTGATGACCAGTCCACCAAGGCCATTGACATTCAAAATGCCTACTTGCATGGTAAGCTGAGCCCTGGGCTGACATGTCTTAATGCTGCGGGATGGTAAATGCTATGTTGCTTGTTTTTAAAAATGAAAATTAAAAAAAAGATACCTGACTTGATATGGTAGTGACTGTTGTTGAGAATCCACACTGGTGGGGTTTGGTTTGGTTAAGCGGAAGGTAAATCTGCATGAAGTTCTGTACACAGAGTAATCACCTGTGTCAGCTCCTTATGGTATCACACAGAAGTGTTTTTGAGGTAAGTGTGACAGGAGGAAGGAAGCATTTGGTATAATAGGAGTGGATTGGCAAACCAGCTACTAGCGTGAAGGGACCTTCACCTATGCTGTATGTCCTTTGGGGATTTTATCCTATGTAATCTGGTCCCAGATTACCCCAGGTTTCCCAGCTGTGTGAATGGTGTGCCTACCATTTTCGCCCCATGACAGGGCTGAAGCATGTTCGGTGGGCCCTGGAGCTCACCAGACATGGTAAGTGGAGCTTCTGATTTCTTTGTATTTTTATTTTTTTTTAAAGGAAGATAATTGCTCTGCAGTTGAAACCCGTTAGCAGTAAGAGGCATCAGAGAAGTTGTTATAAGTACATACATGGCTTTTGACTGTGAAGACCATATAAACGGTGCATATACACCACCAGCCATACTAATTGTTATATAGGTGGTAAGATCTCTCCCAGTAGGTTCTCCTCTTCATGAGGAACATGTTTTGCACACCTTAGCAGCTGCAATTTCGAGTCTGAGTTAGGATTAATCCAGATTTTTATTTTGGAGGGAGACAACTATTTGTGAATGCAGCATCTGCACTAACACCTGCAGTGCCAAATGTTTGTCTCAGATGCTGAAGTGTTTGCCATGTAGCTAAAGCTTGTTCTTTGTCCAGGATAATTTCCTCTTTCAGTGTAATTTGAAACCAAGTCAGATTCTGCAGCAAAAGAGAGTTGTGCAACAAACTGCCAGAAAGGGTTTCTTTTCTTTATGCTGTCTTGATACAGAACGAAAGCGTGCACATGGGTGAACTCCAAATAGCCATACTCGTAACAGCAGATTTGAGGTTTCTGGCTTCTTTTCTTCTAGAAGTTTGAGGTGCATCTTAGTCAGCATTTATTTCAATAAAGGTAGCACAAGTGAGGCAGACTTCACCCTAATTCAGGTGGTGCATCTGGGAAGTGCCATATAGTGCAACACACTCATGCTTTTCTCACCTGAAGCTAAAGGTGGTGGCAAAAAGCAACATGGTGCTGTTCAGATCTGTAACATGGTGATTCTTCAGTCCTGACTTAACAATGTGATGTGAATAGTACAATTCTGTAAAGCAGAGTGGCTTCTTTGAGAATGTCCTTCAGCTGTTTTTAATACCAGTGGTGACATGTTAAGAAGAAAAATTAATTAAAATGTTGAGCTCCTTGGGGTGAGCAGGAAAAGAATGGGAGCCATTGTCCTTGTTTTTCAAAGGAATTACAAGATCCATGGCTGTTGTGCAAGGCAAAGGCGAATTTAATGTGTAAGGCTGCATGTGTTTAACACAGGTGCCTCTGTGTTATATCCAGCTGAATGTCCTAGAGAAGTGAATGTGAGAGAGGAACAGATAATGAAGACTCAACTTCTCAGCCTCTGAGACCGACTGAAACCCGTTCACTTTGTTCATGGTTGCGTTTGCAGTCTTACTTTCTCACATGCATACAGTTTATCTTTGTGAAAACTTAAATCAGATTAACTAACTCTTTTGTTTGTCTTTCCATGGCTGAAAGACACCTCATGCTTACTGACAAAGTGTTGTCTCTTCATGTGTCTATTTTTCAGGAATTGGTGATTTCAGCGTCTGGGAGTTCTCTGGGAATCCTGTGTATTTCTGCTGTTATGATTATTTTGCTGCAAATGATCCCACTGCAATTCACATAGTGCTTTTTAGTCTTGAGGAGCCTTATGAAATCCAATTAAACCAAGTGACCTTTTGGCTCAGTTTCCTGAAATCATTGGTCCCAGTTGAGGAGCCAATAGGTATGCTTTTCTGCCTATTAATGGAGTGTTAGGGGACTGTAGGATAAAGCTTCTTGTGTTTCTCTGCAACTTAGTACATCTTCTGTGTTGAGTGCTGTTATCTGTCTTCATCCCCATGTATTCAAACAAACTTCACACGGGTTTCTTAGATAAAGGGAATTTTATCTGTGGAACCAGCATAAAGAGTTATACACAGCACTTAGTCCAACTAAAAAGGGTCATGAGGTACAGTGCGGCCTCTTGTGGCACTGGGATTTACATCTGTAAATGGCAGATGAAGTTTTATGTCAGCTAAGCTGTGTGGAAAAGTATTTCGATGGGTTGACACCATTTAAAACCGGTTTTAGACACATTGCTTAAATTCTGCTTACATCTAGCCCCAATTAACTGTGTTCCCAGCATAAATCAGTCTTGTCGGTGAGAACAGGACAGAACAACATTGTGGAGTGGTGTTACCTCTTAGTACGTGCAACTTTAACATGTTTAACTGGGCTTGTATTTGGACTTCAAATATGTTAGCCTTTTGGTGGTCAGGGTGTACAGAAACCAGTATTTCTAGTGAATTTCACTTCACATATTCTCAGACTGCACAGGTTTTAAGTAAGTTTACTTGTTTTATATTCAAGCTTTCTCACAAACTGAAAGTCACTTGTCAGGCAAACAAATTTACTTAAAAACTTTTTTTTACTTCTTAAAAGGTCTGTAGGTCTATATACACACCATATAACTTGTTCATGTTTGCAGCTGAGCATTGGTCTGCAGGCTGTGACAGTTTCATGGACGAACCAAGCTCAGACATGGTTCTATGAACTGAAATGTTATTCCAGCCAGTGGATCTAACTCAGCGCTCATATACACTTATAAAGCTGCTAGGGACTCACCAGACAAGCCTATCAAATACTTACATAGCACAAAGAGTATTTCCCCTCTCTTTTTGTGTTCTGCTCAATTCTGTATGCAGTATCTCAGCCAGATAATGATAATGGTGAGCCAAGGCAGACCTTCAGTTTTCAGTTCAGGCATCTGCATGTCTCTTTCCATTTTAGATCAAATCACAAGGTTAACAATATGAGCATTTGGATCTAAACAACATGAAATTACTTCTGGAGGTAAAAGCTCAGAAATTTGCAGAAAAGTGTCAAAGCTGACAATATGGTTAATTTGCAATTGCTGAAAGCTTTTCCTGGCTCCTCAGTCAGGCGAGGAAACTTAGTTCTTGGTTTGACAGAGTTAGATTTAATAATTTCTTCTTGTTGATCTTCTTATCAGTATTATTTAGATACTTTGCTTAAATCAGTGTTTATACTAGTCAGCTCAAGTTGAGTACCCATGCATTTTTGTACTATTACAAATCTCTCAAGCAATATGTAGTAACTGATGTTAGCAGAAAACTTAAACTTTTGGGATTACTTTCCAGTTATTTTGTCTTATGTCCTTTAGCTGCCAAAAAAAATATTTAAAATTGCAAAATACTTGCCTCAAAGTGCTATGCAGAGATTTGGGAAAATGTGGCTTTTTATGCATAAATCAAGATTCTGTAGCTCTTAGCTGATGTAAACTGAGCAGTGATGTGAGCATATTTCTCCTCCGTGAAGTTTTTCCAGTTAGAGCAGCAGGATTGGACGTATCTTTTTTTTTTTTTAAATAGTCTAATGATGTCTTCTCTTTTCTGGAAGGTCAGTTTGAGAAAAGATTGAAAAGTCTGTGTTCCATGCTGTCACCTCATTCATGCCATTTGTATCTTTCTTTCTTTCTCATTCTTTTTCATGGTTTCTGCCAGGCTTTCCTACTTACCTCTCACCTAAGTGAGAGGTCATTGTTTGTGTAAGTACTGCAAAGTAGCATTCATACCAACGTATGAATGTTGTAGACATTTTGTGTTCTACTTAAAATCCTCTACTCTGCACCTGTAGTATTAAGGACCATCCAAAGATTATGAGAAACCCTTTCAAGACGCTGTTATTGTTAGTCATTTTTCCTCACACTATCATAGTTTGTAGTTAATATATACGTCATTAATGTTATTGATTAATGTTTTCGCTAAAACTATAAAATCACGTAATATCAATGTGTCTGATGTTATTCAAAGAGTCTAGCTGTTCAAACTGGACATTATATAGATAATCCTATAGGCAGATAACAGCCAAAGCACCAGTGGTGTAAGCACTATGCTTAGTGGTCTAAGCTGTGATTAGAGTGGTAAATCCACTGCAAAAGTGATTGGTATGAAGAATGTAAAATGTATTTCTACTTTTCCGGCTCAGTAAGACCACCATCTCCACAGGTGTGTCTGATAGTGAGGAAGTGCTCTTGTTTCTCTTCTAGCCTTTGGTGGAAAGCTGAAAAGTCCCCTGCATGTTGTTTTGATCGCCACACATGCTGACATAGTGAATCTTCCTCGGCCTGTTGGTGGAGAGTTTTGGTATGACAAAGACATGTCGTTGTTGAAAGAAATCAGGAACAGGTAAGTGGGGCATGTATTTATATGTAGTGTTTAAATATGTCAGTTGGAAAGAAAAAATACTAAAATGCATAGGAATATGTAAAAACTTTTTATGTTATTTAAGTGTTCCGATGATATTTTGAGTATGTTCAGGAAGTTTATATTGTGCAAAACCTGAAACATTTACCAATGTACAGTGAGTGAGCTGCCTTAAGTGAGCTAAAATGAGGCAAGTGGTGCAAAATTGGGTTGAGGCTTAGGAAGTCTCACCCTGTAAACACTGGGATACATCCAAAGGCCCCTGTCAGCCATCTGTCTGACTTCTTGGTGCTCAGGTTTCACACCGGTCTCAGAAAGGTCTCAGCTACAAACTCTGGGTGCAAAAGAGGAAGCTTTACAGGAGAGCCACCCGTTCCCTGGCATTGATTTAGGATGGGGAGGAAAAAAAACTTAAACCAGGCCTGGGGGTACTCCCTACACAGTTTGTAAAGCCTTGGACATTGTGAAGTCACACAGGTGACAAGGTCATGCAAGAGGTACCTAGAAGTTAGGGAAACATCTAGCCTTCTTCAAAAAATGTTTGGAGAGCGTGCTAACTGTGGATGGAAATAGGGAATTTTTCACAAGCGTGCTATTGTATAAAGTAACAATGGTTTATATTCTCAGTGAGCATGTAAGTAAGTAACACGTGGTACGAGAAACAATCCATACCTGTGAGCATAGACACTTTTCTGGACTGTACAAGACAGATGTAGGAATTCCACCACAGTAGTGGCAGAGCAGTATCTTAATCAACTGAAATATACCAACAGAAAATACCTTTGTGTCATTTTTGGTATTGGAATCCTTTTAAATGCAAATCAGTCCAGAGCTAGGAAAACAAGTATGTGTGGCTGAAAAGTCAAAAAGGAAGTGAGAAAGAGAGCTGGTGTCAATAGCAATGACAAATGAACTATTTAAAGTGAAAAGAAAGAAAACAAATATATGATTCCTGCTATCCCTTCTCTAGTAAAATGTTTAGTTTTGTAATTACAAATCCTGCGATGCAGTTGTAATTTTCTTACGCATCTTCTACCTTCTTCCTTAGGAAATACAATTATTTTCTCTCAATATCTCTGTTTATTTTCAAGAAAATTAGAGAGCAGCTATACTGTCTGTGCTTATAAAATGTATTAGCATAATCAGTACTTAAACCTTTTCATCATTCCTGGAAGAAAAATAACTCTTGTACTTCAGTCTTAAATTACAGAATTGGATGAAGAAATAAAACTGGATTTGGTACTAGGTAACTAATTTTTCGCTTTTTCTTTTTTAGATTTGGAAATGATCTGCATATTTCAGACAAGTTATTTGTCTTGGATGCGGGAGCATCTGGATCTAAAGATATGAAGCTTCTCCGAAATCACTTGCAAGAAATAAGAAGCCAGATAATTTCTGTAAGTAATGTCTAATGGTCTGGGTTGGGCGAGCCAAAATGTGAAAATCTAGTGTAATAATTCATAATGTAAATACTAAATTTACAGTAAAACTTAAAGAAATGAGTGCTGTTCCAATTTTTTAGCAGCATGTATGACAGACCTGGTGATAAACAAACTCCTGACATCAAAGATTCATTCCGCATTTTCAGAATTGTAGGTGTGTTGTACCGGTCACCAAAATGATGTCTCTTGAAAGGAAACAATGTGAGATTCTCAGTTCAAAGTTCATTTTCGTATTTTGAATTGACAGTGACTGGATTCCAGTGTTGGCTCTTCTTTTTTTTGTGTGTGTGTGTCTGTTTTTGTTTTAAGATTATTTTTTTTTAATTAGCGTAGTATTACAGAGAAACAGAATATATTTCACGCAAATAAGGTTTTTTTGTTAAAAAAAAAAAAAAAAAAAAGCCCACCAGGGTAGAACAGTTTCCTCAACTATTAGAAAGGTAATTCCCAATATAGATACATGAACTGAATATGCATTAACTTTTTACTCCAATTTTTTACTGAAAAATACATGCTTGGAGTTTTGTGTGTAGGTGTATGTATATGAGACTAAAGGTAAAATAGCCATGGTTTGAAGTTGTCACCGTGAATCCACAGAGACTTCCATACCGAAGGTGACCAAGTCAAGTTATTAGGTAGCCTGTGCTAAATGTATTTAAATTTCTTCATACCAAACACCCTCTTTATTTGTGTGACACACCAGCGAGACTTTCTGCAGCTACTTCTAGTAAGTATTTTTTTTTAATTAATTAAAAGCTAATTTATTACTGAGTTTATTGTGTAGATCGAGGAAAATGTTTGGTTTTATGCAAAAGTCATCGTATTTTACACTCCAAATGGTTTCTTGATTTAATAAGCTTTTCTTCTCTGACAAAACTTCTGTCACTAGCTTGAAATCTGGAGGGCTTTGCTGCATAAGAAGTGTGTGCTTGAAAGTGTAGGATGAAGGAATCAGTGATATCCAAGACAATCACTAGATAAAAGTACCATCTTCACTTCTTATCTGGTACCCTGCTGTCTCACCTGTTGAAGTAATTTGGTCCTGTACAGATATTGAAGAGTATAGAATTTAATTAAATGTTGACCATTTCTGAAAAAAGATTAACTTCTAGATGCAGGAAGGCAACTGATACATTTTTGAAGTCACCATTTCAGGTGGTCAGCACATTTGACGAGGCACGACTATATAAAGTAAACTTTGCTCCGTGTGTCAGGATTCCCTTTGTAATCATGGTGATGTTTGGAAAGTTGCTTATTTCAGTGAAAAAGTTGCTCCTGGCATTCACTTTATTAAGAAAAGGTAGATCTCATGGCAGGTGAACCAGAAGGAAGAGTAAGGGTCCATCACAAGGGGAGCTCTTTAAACATGAATATATATCATGTATGCATCAGACCTTGTAACCTCCATGTAAAAAAATTTTTTTTAAAAGCACTAGTACTGTTATTCTCAGCAGAGTTGAATTACAAATGGATGTTTTCTGTGCCTTTGTTAAGACTTGCCCACCTATGACTCATCTGTGTGAAAAAATAATCTCCACACTGCCTTCATGGAGAAAAATTAATGGACCAAATCAGCTGATGTCCTTGCAGCAGTTTGTGTACGATGTACAGGAACAGCTTAATCCCCTAGCAAGTGAAGATGACCTACGGCATACTGCACAGCAGTTGCATAGCATAGGAGAAGTAAGTGTTTTTATCAAAATTGTCTCTTTTTATTAGTAGGGTGCTGCTCTGGTAGAATATTGCTTAATGAGATTTAAGCAAACATCTCTAGCTTTTTTTTTTTTTCCCCTCCTAAGATGACATAAGTAGTAGAGACTGGTTAATAATGCTTTTTGTTATTGGTATTGTCTTCTGGCTTCTATTTCATTCAACGTTATTTCTTTGAGACAGGAAGAACTACAGTTTATCGCTGTAGTTGTAAGAACATAAAATACCAAGAAAGGGTAAGTGTGCCGCTGTCTTAAATGAGGTAGCACCTACTGTGTTCTCTGCATATGAGAAATTTATGTTTGTCCAGTAGAAACTGAATCGTAGGATAACACCTGTGCGTAAATAGCTGTTGGGCTGTAATGGTTTCATTCGTAGTGGAAATCAAGAACAAGATCTGCTTTTTGTTCTGAATATTTGCAAGAAATTAAAATGCACTTTTTTTTTTTCTGTCAGCAGTGTTAATTGAATGATTGGGTTAGTAAGTTAAGAAGGAGAGAAGGTGGGGGGTATCACCTTGTACTTCACAAGATGTAAATAGTGATTTTCATATTTATAAACAGATTAACATTATGCAGAGTGAAACTGTCCAAGATGTTGTGCTTCTGGATCCTCGCTGGCTCTGTTCAAATGTCCTTGGAAAAATCCTGTCAGTGGAGAACCCAAAAGCTCTCCATCACTATAGAGGTCGGTATACTATAGAGGACATCCAGCGTCTGGTGACAGATAGTGATGTGGAAGAACTGATACAGATTTTGGATGCCATGGATATTTGTGCAAGGGACCTTAGCAGTGGAGCAATGGTGGATATTCCTGCTCTCATAAAGACTGACAATCTCCACAGGTCTTGGACAGATGAGGAGGATGAGGTGCTGATTTATGGTGGTGTTAGAATCGTTCCTGTGGAACATCTTACCCCATTTCCTTGTGGAATTTTTCATAAAGTTCAGGTAAATCTCTGCAGGTGGATTCACCAGCAAAGCACAGAGGGAGATGCTGATATACGTCTGTGGGTAAACGGATCAAAGATTATGAATCGCGGAGCTGAGGTTTTAGTGCTGCTAGTCAACCATGGTCAGGGTATAGAGGTTCAAGTTAGAGGAGTGGAAACGGAGAAGATCAAGTGTTGTTTACTTCTGGATTCTGTATGCAGCACCATTGATAACTTAATGGCCACAACCTTACCAGGGCTTCTGACCGGGAAATACTACCTTAGTCCTCAGCAGCTGAGGGAACATCATGAACCAGTAATGGTCTACCAGCCTAGAGACTTTTTCCGTGCACAGAGTCAAAAGGAGACATCACTAACTAACACTATGGGGGGATACAAAGAGAGCTTTAGCAGTATACTGTGTTTTGGGTGTCTTGATGTCTACTCCCAGGGAAGCCTAGGAATGGATATTCATGTTTCAGATCTAAATCTACTTACCAGGAGAAAACTAAGTCGATTTTTGGATCCACCTGATCCTATGGGCAAAGATTGGTGCCTTCTGGCCATGAACCTGGGCCTCCCTGACCTTGTTGCGAAGTACAATACAAGTAATGGAACACAAAATGACTTTCTCACAAGCCCAGTCCATGCCCTTCTGCAGGAGTGGAGTAATTCTCCTGAGAGCACTGTAGGTATCCTAATGTCTAAGCTGAGGGAATTAGGTCGCAGAGATGCAGCAGACTTTTTACTGAAGGCATCTTCTGTATTCAAAATAAATTTAGATGCTAATGGTCAAGAGGCTTATGCTTCCAGTTGCAACAGTGGCACATCTTATAATTCGATTAGCTCTGTAGTGTCACGGTAAGAGCAGGTGTTTTGCGTGGACACCTTTTCAAACTGCGGAGAGGATAAAAGACACAGTGCAAGAGTTTCTGTGAATTTTAATTTATGAGGTTTTACATCAAACAATCTTTATCCTTCTCTCCAGCACCACCTTTTTGTGCATAAACTTTCTACTTCTAACTGTGAACTGTTGCTCCTTATCTGTTAAAAAGGCTGGTATACTCCTGGTGTTTTAAAATTATTCCTGATACATAATGTGCTGCTTAATACTGCCATTTTAACTGGAAAGTCTTAACTTTTGGATTACATACTGCAACTGTTTTATAAAATATTTTTATTCTCCCCATAAAAGGTAGGGGGAGAGGAATAGCACATATTTTACCTGAAATGTGTATTTCTTACACTCTTTTTTTTTTTTTTCTTTCCATCGTGTCCTCTGCTTAACATCTTTTTTGGTATTTGTAAGGAGGGAAATCCACCATTTGTGGTCAATCTGACTGAATTTAAAACCACATTATTTATAGCTGAAAAAGCGAGTGCCTTTTGCAGAAGGGAGGGTGTAGTTGATTTGAATGACCCTGCTGGAGTTACAAGAACATGCTACCTCTGTTTCACTTAAATTGTCTGCATGCTTATCATTGCAAGTGGTGCTTGCCTTTTAATTTTTCCTGCACTTCTAAGACATTTGTGATGACTCACGCAGAGCATTCTTGTGCCAGTACTATGGGTATAGACATGTGATACCTAATCAACTTCAATTGCAGTGAAATCATAATGTGAAGATCTCTTAAACTTGCCAATTATCATGCTTCATTATTTCCATGCACCTCAGGTAAAAGTTCATATCATTATAGAGTTCAAAAAACACAAGTGTTGGATACTGCAGAATAATATTGTATAGCTGTCAGTTGTAATTTGTGTATAACAAAGGTTTTCTACTATTAGATCCTGCATTACTTACTTCCTGTACTTGAAAACTTTGATGGGGATAAAAACAAAACGGAAGCAAGGTTTCTTGCAGTGATAACTTTAAAATTGATATGAGGGAATATGACCCATTCTCTGTTCTAAAAAGCATGTAATTTTAATGGTGCGATGTGTGTTTGTTTATATATATTGTATGTACATATATTAATACTATTTTTTCCTTAATCTCACAATGTAGTAAAATTTTGAAGGATTTTTCTACAAATAAACTGTTGCTCGTTGCATCCTTGTCATTCATATTCTGTAGCTGAAAGTAACTGAAGCTTTTCCTTACAGTCGCATCCTGAAGAGGCAATGCCTGGCTTCTGAAGTTCTGGGAACCTCCTGTTTGACTTCAGAGGGGTTTCTCAGTACACTGGAGGAATATTTATTTATCTGTTTACTGCAGAGGTGGTCCCTGTGCAGCAGAGGGATTTGCATCCATTTTGACAAACGGCAAGCCAAAGTGGTTTGCTACATAGCTTTTCCTTTGTGTTTTTTTACAATGGAAACGAGAACAGCAGAGGCGAGTCTGTCATCAGGAATCCTCCAGATTATGCTGTGTTGCAAAGGGGGAGAACGCTGCATTAGAGCCTGTGCTGTGGTAATGGTTCTTTGCATTAAGGACCCGCTCACTGCATGAGTGACTGTGCTGCTGCTGCTGCTTGTTTAAGCTCTCCACATCACTCCCTGATAGCTACACAGTCTCTGTATAGCGCTCTGTGCAGGCAGCTCTGCACAATACTTCCTCTGTGTGTATGCTGCAAAGGAATTAAACACTCTTCTTATAATGCTAGTTGCCTTTTCCCACTGCCAGCCATTGCAGATTTTACCCTTGCTTGATTAAATCCTTCCCTGGGCATCGCTGGGCTCCTTTGTTAAACGTTTTCTAAAAGTCTAGTCCTCAATGAGAAGTACGGTTACTGAACAGCCCTGCCCTGAGCTGTCTGTGCTAGGACAGCCTGCCTCTGGTGAACAGAGTTCAGCATCTCCCACCACTGATCAAAGCTGCTCGGTGAAGAGCTCAGCATTCCGCAGCCCATATTTGCCCATGTGACTTCATGGCCACCACCATGCTACACCTTCCAATGGTCGACATGTTCAGCACTTCTGTCAGATTCTGGTGTGTGGAGGGACCTTTCTCATCTCACAGGACTTTCTGGTTTTCTAGCTGATGCCTTTAGGCCTGTTCCTCAGGCATCAAACCTGGAGTTACCTTCCCCATGTCTGTGTTACTGCAGAGGAGCAGGCCTTGATATCACAAGTCATGTGAGGGCAGAGACTACTGTGAGATGCTTTTCCAGTGCAAAGCTGTCAGTGGTGTCTGTTAGTTTGGGATTCAATTCACCACTGTACTGCTTGTGGCGGAGTGGCAAGATTTTGAGATACTAGGTAGCTCCTCCCCAGGTGCTTTACGCGCACTCAAGATGTGTGGTTGACTTACCAACATTGATGCAATAGTCTTTTTTTCCTCTTTGTGGTTTCTTTTCCTCTTTGGTTTTTTTTTTTCCTCTTCGTTGTTTTTTTCGTTCCTGACAATTCCCTACTTCATATACTGTAAAATGCAGCCCTGGGAGTATAAATTACTTAGTGGATGGCTATGATGGATATTTGAATGGCAGGCTATTGCATCATTTACAGTTTTCATGGTAATAGATTCAGGAAAGTGAATCACAGTCATAGTATAGCTTGGGATTGCTTTCCTATAAATCACGTGCCACTGACCAAAAAAAAAAAAAACTTTGTTGTCCTAAATAACAATTTCGACAAAAAAAGGTTAGCAAAGTTATGTAAGTGGGCATCCCTTCAGTTGCTTTGCTTTTATTGATTTCCTGTTTTGTGAACGCAATTAGGAGCAGAGCTTCAGTCCACAATTTTTAGAACTGTTTAAAATGCACTGACCCTGCCTGGCTCACTCCAGAAATGGAGGAAATGCAAGTCTGCACAATCAGAAAAGTTTAGCCGTACATGTAAATTATGTATAGTTTGTGCAAGGAACAGGCTACACTTAGCTCCTGCCAATGAAATAAGTGAAGCTGGACAGTAACCATTAGGACACTCTCTTCCTTGCACTTCTCTGTAGCTTCAGAGGAGAGCTTCTGAAAGACAACTTGAGAATAAAACACATTAGCGCCAGCATTCATTTTGTCTTCAAAATCTGTAATCTAGGCAAACTTTAAAGCTCGCAACACAGTTGTTCAAGTCCAAGATGCATCACAGATGATCTTGCAGTTTAGACATGTATGTTACACCTGGGCTCAAATTCTGAAGAAATTTTCTGAAGATGATGATGGGGAGGAAGTGAGCATTTTAGTGCAAACCATTTTTCCTGGTAGAGTATGTTCTCCCTGGCATGCAGCAACAGGCATAGGTTAGGAAAGTGCTTCATACTGCTATTTGTATTAGGTTTTACTGGTTTTACTCTCTGTGGGAGTTTTGCTGCTGACCTGACTGGTGAGTTTGGAAAGCCACAAGGGATGACTGGCTACGTGCAAATGATTTTGAGGGTGGGACAAGAAGGGCATCCAGACGTGGCCTTGGGTGGAGGTGGAGATACACAATTCTTGTCGCCTTTAGAGGATGTAAACTGGAGACAGCCACAGGTTTTAGGATCCTTGTGAGTCAAGTTGTTGAGAAAGAGTTATGAAACAACAGGGGTTTAGCAACTCCCAAGTGTCAAGAGAGTGACAGAGCCCTGAGGCTTAGGAGACAAAGCACAGCTTCCTAAATGGTCAGGTCTCTAGAGAGCAAAGGTGAAGCTGTTAGAGCTGGCTGAGCTGGAGCCAGTTCCAGGTCCTAAACCTGTGCTGGTTGCATTGCCCACCCCAAAGAGAAGTTACCTGTTAGTCCATTGCAACCTTTGTATTCCAAAGATGCTGTGTTCTGGCATTGTTGCTTAAAACAGGTGCCTTGATTTGAATCACATCACTATTTCAGCTTTGCCAATGAAATGGAGGAGTAACACCCAAGCTGTAACTCCAAACTAAGTAAAAGCAGCATGCTGTTGGCTGAAACCTCTCTTCAGGTCAGAGGAGCTGGAGCAGTGCATGATCTTTTTTGAAGGTGGCCTGAAAGTACTATGTACAATATTAAAATTTATCTCTCTTTGATTTTTTGTTTGTTAAACTCAGTCCAGTGGGTCACAAAAAAACATTAAACAGGAGCACAGATTCACTCCCATATCTTTTCAGTCTTTGCCTGACTTGGAAGGCAAGGTAGGGGGTAGAAAAGAAGATGAAAATCAGTTTTTAACAATGCCTGAGGTACTTGGTTTCCAGAAGGGTTACAGCCAAGCCACTCAGACTTTGCAGGTAGAAGTGTTTGGGTCTCCAAAAGTCAGATGAGCTGTACATAGAAGAGGACTGATGGTTCTTCTCTGTGTGGCTATGCTGTCTATCATAACAAGCTTTACAGGAACAGTGGGGCCAGCAGCTAATGCTGCCTCAAAGCCAGATGAGGATCTTGGTGGACCCGGTTTAGGTTTGCAGTAACCAAATTGGCCTAGCATTTCTGCACAAGCCAGACTACTCTGGATGAGGGCCAAATCCAAAATATGCATATTTAAAGATCATTCTTCGAAATGCAACCATGTTGCTGAGTCAGCTGGATATACCTTGAAAATCACAGCCCTGCCCTGAGACAGAGCAAACCTGGACTATCTTGTCCAAACTGTGGGTCCCGCTCTCACGAAGCCTAGGACGCCTACACAACTAATACACACTCATATCTCCTAGGCACAGGGCAAGACTAGGAAGAATCCAGTGCAGGGTGGTAAGGGGTCTTGAACAGGAGTAAATGCTTAGGCATTCTGCATCTTACTCTCACGGGTTTGCTGGTGAAGAGATGGTGACAGCCTGGGCCCATACGGCCTCCTCCTCTGAAACATCGTCGCACTTGCTGCAATAGTTCAGGCATTTCCAGAGGCTCCGTGTCCAGCTCTCTCTTGTATCTGCACAGGTGCTTCGGCGAGACACCTTCCCTGCGGACACGGGCACTGTTACAGCTGAGTGTAACTGACCTTGAGAAGCTTCGGGCCCTATGTGTTGGAAGTCTAGCCAAGGTGCTCCGGCTGCATCCAGCAGTTGAGGCTGGGTGGGGGTGTAACCCAGCAAAGGGGGTGCAATCTGCATGAGTGAGTAAGGGCTGGGTGAGACATCAGCATGTGGTGCGCAGGGAGGGGAGGGTAAAGTTGTGCTTTTCAAAACTTCTCAGGGAAACACAGGATAGAAGGGAGGGCTCTTGCATTTGAGGGGGGGGGCTGTTAGACTGCTGATGCTGTTAAAAGATCACGTGTGTATGA